GAGTGTGCAAACTTAACCACTACACCACCAGGCCAGCCACAGGAGTTTATGTCTTGCTTACACCAAGTGTTCTGTGGGTCTGGATGATTCTTTGTGATGTCTCTTGTCCATGTGATGACTCAGGAATTGAGACTGTTTTGATCTTGTGGCTCACCCATTCGATCAGAGAAATTCTCAGTCCTTGCAGCATTGAAGGAGTCATTGCTGACCCACCGATGACCCACTGGAGGGTCTGGCACAAAGGTCACTTCTATTCACAACCTGTCGGCCAGAGCAGTCATGGGAGTCCACCTAACTGCAAGGGAAGATGTGAGGGAGCCCACGGAATATGTGGCAGGCATTTCTGCCTCTGCCTCAGCACCTCGCCACCTTTACACACCATGCGCCCACTCTCCTCACTGCCCCCCCTCCACACACACACGGTCAAGCACTAGATTATGTAGAAGGTGACATGGTCACATCATCATTGACTATATGATGCTGCCACAATATGGTCCAGGTGGGAGTATCTCATTGAACCCTTTGCCTTCAGGTGAGTGAAATATCTAGACCATCCAGAACAAAGAGGGGCTTGCTTTCTTTTGGTGTATCTGCCGCAGAGGTTGCAAGGCTAAATATATGCTACCGGACTTCATGTAAAATTCTAAATTTCTGACTTTTCTTGAATAATTGGAAGATCTGGCAACACAGGCCATATGTTCGCTCCTTGTGTCAACCAGCTGTAGCTAAGCAGTGGCTGCACACCTTAGATAGCCATTCATTCTCTAGTCTAAGTGAGTCCTCGCCACCTGGCAGCTTGACTCAGTTCCGGTACCTGCCTGGACCCTGTAGGGAGCAGTCTGTGACCCCTGCTCCATGCGTTTGCATAATAGTGTCTTCCACAGCATTGTCACCCCAAAGATGGAGTTCTTTCTTAGGTGTCTCAAAGACGTCTCTCTCTTTAATCCCTGGCCCCCCTTATTTGGTCATTTCTGGATTTAATATTCTCTTCATGATAAAGTCTCTTAATTATCTCCTTTTTGGTCAAAGCTGAACCATTTCAATTTCTTTGCCTCTCTTCCCCCTTCTGCTCCAATTTTCATCCCTCTGACCCTCCTTGTCAACCTTGTTAGGGCACTCTCATTTGCCCACACCCTTTTAAAGATACTTTGAAATGAACTAGATAAAAGGATTCCAGATATTAGAATGGAAATACTGCAGGACCAAAACTCCAGGCTGAAGTGGATGGTGTGTGCTTGACCCTTGCAAGTTAAAATCATGGCCGCATCCTTAATCTCCAAGGTTTTATCAGACATCTTTGGGCTGCAAGTTGCACGAGGCCCTGGGGCCGACTGCTGGGCTCATTCCTGTGAGCACGCTGCCCTCCCGTCTCTAGGACCCGGATAAGAAAGAAGCTCTGTTTGTCTTGGTCCCCTCCACCTGCCGAGATCTGACTGCAGTAATATGTGTGGGCGCAGCTCCAGACATTATTTCAGACTCCAGCCAGCTCCCAATTTAATAGGGGCTCTTGACTGCTCTCCAGCAGACTTTTTGCTTTATTACGTTCTTGTTTCCGAGGATCATATTATCAATACGACTGACGACAGAAGCAAATGCTCAGAGACCTGACACTGGGTCTGGCACTGTTCCAAGGGCTGTCCATGCTTCTGTTCAAACCAATAACCCTAGGAAGGAGGTACAATTATGATTCCACTTTTCAGACATGAAACAGATGGGGACTTGGGGAGATTAAGAGATCTTCCCAAGGTTGTACCACCAGGAAGCAACAGAAATGGGATTCGAACCTGGACGGGCTCATGTTCCAAAATCCTTGCATTTCATCCCTGTGCCGTACTGCCTCTCTTATACAAAACAAAACTTTAAAACGGGAATATTTGGAGTTGCTAAAATATTCTAAATGCATAGTCTTCAACCTTAGAGGGCAGGCAAGTCTGTTTACTCCTGCTCCATTTGGCTAGTGTAGGGAGACACCTGGTGGCCATTCTGTGTTTTAAAACTTTTTATTGTGGGAAATTTCAAATATATACAAAGTAAATAGAATAGCGTAATAAAGCCCTTCTCTACCCAGCTTGAGCAATTATTAACATTCTGCCATCCTCTTTCCATTTATACCGCCACCTGCTCTCCATCCCCTCCCCCACCTCGTTACTTTGTTTGGTTCTTCTTAAAATAAAATTTGTTTGTATCAAAATGCACAAAACCTTAACAATCTATTTTGACAAAGAGATACACCCATGTAACTCACAGCCCTATCAAGTTAGAGAACGTTTCCATCACTCCAGAAAAGTCCTTTGCCAGAAATCCCCCTAGCCAGGCAACAATTGTTCCGATTTTTCACTGTAGATTAGTTTTGCTTGTCCTAGAATTTCATACAAATGGAACCATGCGGCATGCACTCTTTTGTGTCCGAGTTCTTTCACTCAGCATAATGTCTGTGAGAGTCATCCGTGTCGTTGCGCATACCAGTCATTTCTCTTTCATCGCTGTACCCATTCCATTGTATGGTTGTTCCACTTCTATTCTCTAGTTGATGGCAATTTGGATTGTTTCCAGCTTGGGGCCATTATAAATGAAGTTGATATAAACCTTCATGTTCAGGTCTTTTTGTGTACATATGTTTACATTTCTCTTATGTAAATACTTGGGAATGGAATTGCTGGATCAAAGGATAGAGGCATGGTTAACTTCATTAGAAACTGCCAGACCTTTTCCCAAGTGATTCTGTCGCCTTACATTCCTACCAGCAACGTGTGAGAGTTCTGTCCGTTCCGCATCCTCGCTAATATTTGACGTTGCCAGTCTTTTTCATTCAAACTATTCTAGCGGTTTCTCACTATGGTTTTAATTCGCATTTCCCTGACGACCGATCATGTTGAGCATTTTTCTACGTGCTTATTGACCATTGGTCTATCTTCCTTTGTGAAGTGTCCATTCCAGTCTTTCGCCCAATTTTTATTGGGTTTCACTTTTTACTAATCAGCAGTAGGAGCCTTTTATTCTGGATACAAATCCTTTGCAGGTATATATTTCGTGACTATTTTCTGCCAATCTGTGGCTTGCCTGTCCGTTTTCTTAATAGTGTCTTCTGATGAGAAGTTTTTGTATTTGATGAAGTCTGATTTCTTATTTTTTTCTTTTATGATTATTCCTTCCTGTGCCCTAAGAAAAAGCAAAGGATGCAAAGATATTTGCCTCTGTTTTCTCCTAGGATTTTTACAGATTTTATATTTACATTTAGGTCTAAGAGCCATCTCAAGTTTATATACAATATGATTTTTTATATATGTAAAACATAAATAGATAAATTTTATATATAAACAACTATATATCTCAAAACAGTTCAGTGCAGAAAAGGAAAATCTTTTCAACCAATAGTGCAGGAACAAGTAGATATCCATAAGGAAAAAAATTTCATTGCAACCCTTATCTGCACAACAGACTCCGAATCTGAAAGTATTTCAAAGGAACCTAGATATTTATTTTTTCTATGTAAGAGCTTAGATCTTCATTTATTCATAATTGTATTCCAAGAAGTTTTGCATTAGTGGTTATATTGCAAATATAGATACATATTTAAAAATATAAACTTACATATGTTTATGTATTGTAATATATTATAACATTAAAATACTATTTTATAATATATGTTATAAAATCTATATATATAAAATCTGCATGAGGTACGAGTTGAAATGACACTTTTTAATTATGGTATCTACTTATTCTTGCACTATCGGTTGAAAAGGTTTTCCTTTTCTGTACTGAATTATTTTGGAAACTTTTCAAAAATCAATTTACAAACAGTCTTGATTACTTAAAGTGAAGAATTGTGTCCTCTAGCTTTGTTTTCCTTCTTCAAGGTTGTTTGGCTTTTCTAGAACCTTTGCATATCCATACGTGCCAGCTGTCAATTTATGGGGTCTCAGATCCAAATTCACCCTTTAGTACCTGCCCTGCAACGATAACTGGACCCGGGAAGCATTTCTCCTTGAAGTGAGCGTGATGCTAACCTTTGTCAGTAGAGGGCGCTGGAGGGACACTGCAATAGCAGAAGATTTCTCTTCCTGGTGCCCTTTGTTCTGTTTTGCTTTTTCTGGCTCTTTGGCTGCACTGTCAGCTGCACAGTGGGACGTGGCTGGGACATGCACTAACTGTGTGCCCAGAGTACACGGTCCCTCAGTGGCCTCAGCCCTGGTCCAGGTCTGGTGGCCACTTTGCCACAGTCTCCCAACACAGACATCACACACTCCAGGCCTCTGACCTCCAACATCACCCAGACTCTCCCTGCTCACCCTCCAGCCTCAGCTTGCCTGAGCCCCGGAGAGCTGTCTCCCTGGGCCTTTCTACATAAATGGTGCAGCGCTGGGCTCCGCCCCGCAGTAATCTGACTCCCTTTGCTCGCCTGTGCCTAGGGGGTTGTTCTGCTGCCTGGTGACCCTGGACCAGCTCCAACCCTGGTAACTCAGTGAGATCCTCTGCCATCCAGTGGACTGCAACCACACCTTCTCCAATGAGGTCTAAAGCCCAGCCTAGGGGAGGGGACCCTCCAAGTGTGTCCTTCCTCAAATACTGCTCTGTAACAAGCAATTCCCTTTCTAACCAAACTCCTCACCACTGATCTGGGAATTTCATAGCAAGTTCAGGCAACTGACATTTATGGAGTACATGATGCGGTCAGGAAAACAGACTCTGAGGCCAGGCTATCTAGGGTCATATCCTAGATATTTTCTTTTGGTGGGTCTTGGGCATGTGTTATAAACTCTCTGTCCTCGGTTTCCTCATCTGTAGAATGGCCGTGATAACAGTAGTGACTTCATAGGGTCAGAATGAGGAGTAAGGGAGATGACACATGTCAAGGTTTACAGAGTGGCGCCTAACACAGTAAACTCTCAGTTTCTGTCAGCTGCCGCTGCTATTGTTACTGTTTTCACTGTCATCCTCCTGTATCCCTAACAGATTGTTAACTCTTAATGAAAGACAGCATAATTTGATCTTGGCTCTCTCCTATCGTCAGGACTTAGCACCTTGCTGTTTCCACACTGTGAGAGGTGCAATGGAAATTACAGAATCAACGAGCTGCTGACGACTGTTCCGTTTCCCGTAGAAAGAAGACGTGAGGAGGAAGCACATTCGTCTGCACATGGAGGGCGCGCTGACCGCCCGGGACAAGGTCGGGGTGCAGGATTTTGTGCTGTTGGACGCGCACACCAGCGAATCTGCTTTTCTGGACAATCTTCGCAAGCGGTTCAGCAAGAATCTCATCTATGTAACGTAACTCATTTCCCTGCTCCTTTTCTACAGTAGTGGTTCCCTCCCTGCCTTCACAGCCTTGACGATCGTGAACAATATCACTCTATTAGGATAGCCATTAAAGGGAGGGGTGGAGGGATCAAATCAGATGAACTTTGATCCTTTGTGTTAAGGTCTTTATGGCCGCCAGTGACGGAGACCCAACTTAAACTCGCTTAAGCCCCGAAAGGAAATCTATCAACCTATGTAACTTTAGGGGCCAGGAAGAGATCTAGGGTCTCAGATGATGTCTTGAGCACTCTTTCCCAGCTTTCTGCTTTCTTACTACGCATCAATTTCCTCCTTGGGCACCTTCTCTGCAACGTGGCAAGATGGCTGCCGGCAGAACCAAGCTGACAAAGTAGCACTTAGAGTTGCTACTGAGAAGGAAACAAGTCTGCCCGGAGACATAGATGTTGGTTGGCTCTGATTGGCCAATCCCCATAGCTAGGAAAGAGGAATATTCTGATTGGCCAGGCTATTTACCCAAGCCCACCCTTGGAGGTGAGGGGTGAGGCCAATGGCCCCCCTGACCATTCTGTACGGACTGAGAGCTCGAGAAGAGGGTTTCTCAAAGGAATCTGCTGGAAGAAGGGGAGACTAGGTGCCAGGCAGGCAAAAATAAAAGATGGCCACCACATCTCATGAATCTTCAACGGTCAAGATGGCAGCAATTTACCACGACTCTTCTTAGGTTGGTCTGGCTGTTTCTAGTGGTGGTCAATTTTTATTAAATTCTCCATTTATCACCCCACCCCGATTGGAGAAATCAATTTTCATGTGAATTCCTCTAAGGTAAACTTCACAGAGTCTCTCTGTGTGTGGTGGGGTGTTATTAAATTTAGTTTTATTGAGATTTTATTAGCTTTTTCTAAAAGTAAATTATGTGATCAGAACCAGTATTAAAATATTAAAAAATTTTTTAATTGTCTTGTAGCTATTTTGTTTTAATGGTGCCTGTGACTTAACCAATGTGTTGAACCCAAGGTTACCGAAAGAAATAAGCAAGGTGCTTCTCAGAGTATGTATTTTCAATCGTGGAAATAGAATTTTTGGGTAAGCAGTGAAGAAACATCCATTGATAGAGAGAAGTATAAATGGGATGATAGAAACATTGTGAATAAACTAAATGTTTCCGCTTTGAACAGACAAGTTTCAGAAACTACGTTCTACCCTGGAAGATGTCTACTGATTGACGTAATGCAGGATTTTAGTCAAAATACTCTTCTCTGTTCAGGTTCTCTGTTTGACTTTGTCCTAGAGATTGGAAACATTCGTTGGAATGATTTTAGGCTAATTTAACATAGGCTTGAGTTTGACACTCTGAAGTGAAAAGCACAACAGACTCCGAATCTGAAAGTATTTCAAAGGAACCCAGATATTTATTTTTTCTATGTAAGAGCTTAGATCTTCATTTATTCGTAATTGTATTCCAAGAAGTTTTACATTAGTGGTTATATTGCAAATATAAGTACTTCAAAAACTTGGATATGAATAGAATCCAACATTAGAATCTAGGGAGATAAATGCCAGTGGTGGGAGCGTTTGCCCGGTCTGAGATAGCTGGTATGCATGCTCGCCCTGCTCAGTCACCTCTAAGAGAAACTTTCTGAAACAAGAATCAGATCCTGGTGGTCCCCTCTTAAAGCCATTTCACGTAACAGAGCAGGACAGGCAGTCCGTTTCAGTAGGGACGCTGGCTCAGCCATCCACTGCATTTGTATAAACCCTCAATGCCTCCCACCTGGTGTGACCTGAACTTGCTCCCTCTCCGACTTCGTCTTCTATCATTTTCCTTTTTCCCCCTCCACACACGCTGGCCTTCAGTGCAGCCGGCCTGCCACCCTTGTCCCCACAGCCTAACGCACCCTTTCTGCCAACTTTTTGCGTGACTGGCTCCTCATCCTTCAAGTCTCAGCTCAGGTGTCACCTCCTTGAAGAAGCCTTTCCTAAGCCCACGAGCTGAGGTGGCCTTCCTCGGTCATTCGCTCTCTCATTTATCCTGTTTACACCTTTCTTAATGCTCTCATTGAAGCATCTCGATCCCTTGTTTGTCTGTCCCCCTCCCATGTAAGCTCCATGACAGCGGAGACCCCACCTGTCTTATTTATTGGTTTACATCCCCAGCACTGAATGAATGCATGAGGGTCATAACATGTGACGTTCGTTTGCTGTAGCCATTTGCACCCCAGAATTCCTCACTGGTGCTTTGGTCCATTCCTCTAGACATATATTGGGACCCTCCTTGTGTCTGTGAATCCGTACCAGGAGCTCGGAATCTACACTGTAAGCCAGATGGAACTTTATCAAGGGGTCAATTTCTTTGAACTGCCACCACATGTGTAAGTAACACCCATTAGGTCATCAACAGGAGTATTTTTCTATTTCTTTCCTTCGTCTGTTTTTCTTTTTTCCCTCCCTCTCTCCCTCCATCCACCCACCCACCCACTCATCCATCTGTCCACTTATCCATGCATCTATACATCTGTCCATTCCTCCATCCATCTATACATCTATCCATCCATCCATGCAACCATGCATCCATCCACCCATCCACCCACCTATCCATCCATCCAAATCCTTGATGCGTGCTCATTAGGTTTTGTACCTCACTTAAACTGGTACATTCTTGTGAAATAAATCTTTCAATGCAGTAGAAAACACCAGCAGATCATTATTGAATCTCAGCTTAAATAAGATGAGAGGTGGAATCTTTTGTAAGTGCTGAGAAATCTAAGTGTGGCTGGAGAGGTGTCTTCTCTGGGAAGTGGTTTGCTATCATGCCATCTGCTGGTGCCTGGTGTCATGGCAACTAAGAGGAGTGCCCACTGGTAGAAACTTACCGGGGCTGCAGATCCATAAGAGAAGCAGTTTCCTGTCTGATCTATGTTTGTCCTGGGCTTTGCTGAATTTCTCAGTTCCCCTCCCTGGTTGACTTCTGGGCCAATATTTAGGTTCTCACTCCATTTTTCTTGATGACTCATCTCTTCACCCCGCCCCCACCCCCAAGGCATTTATAAACCTTTCTGCATCACCACCATCACCAGCGATTTCTGAAATAGCCACCTTTCAAACTCGGCCACGTGCAAAGATTCTAGTCTTGGGAGACCTCCAAGCTTTGGTTTCTCATCTTGGTGATAAAGCCCTTATAATAATTTGACCTCTTGTCCTAAAGATATCATGGAGCTTTTTAAATCTTTTTAGTTTCCTGTCTCTACACTCTTAATACTGTAGGTTTTGAGGGAAAGAGAAAACGTGATCTTATTGTAGTGATCAAGTTATTTAATATTTAAACAAGATGTTATTTCCATCTGCAGTTAATAGAACGTTTCTTGGGGATGTGATTTAGCATCTGGTTTATCCTTATGAGAAATGTTGATGGATTTTTAAGAATAAAGTTGTTGCATTAACGTATTTCCATTACTTCTCCAGTTCTTCTCTTTATCTTTTCTGCTATTTGAGTTTTGCGGTCTGCTACACTTTATGTGCCATCCATCAATGGGTCATGGTGGGAGTTTGACATCTGACTGAGCCCAGTGTCCTCGTACCACAGTCTGGATGTGGCTTCCTGGGGCCAGCATACTTCATCCTTCCGCTCCGGTGGGCATCAGCCCCAAGGGAAGTAGTGTTGAAACCACTTCCCACTCTTTCTGTTTCTGTCTCACTCCTTCTCCAGCTACGCCATCGCTGACAACGCCTACCGCATGATGTGCTCCGAGCTAAATAACCACCTCATCCTCATTTCTGGAGAGAGCGGAGCGGGGAAAACGGAGGCCTCCAAGAAGATTCTCCAGTATTTTGCGGTGACCTGCCCAATGACCGAGTCACTACAGACAGCCCGTGACAGACTGCTGCTCTCCAATCCAGTGCTGGAGGTAAGCCATCTTTGAGGACCTATAGAGGGATGTTCCAGGGAGGTCGCTAAGGAAGAGGAACCCTCTGCCTGGGCAGGTCAGTCAAAATAGGCGGGTCTCTGGGAGTTAAGAAGAAGGGTCTCACGGGTAATGTTGTGGTTAAGGGCGTGACCTGGAAGTCCTGCAAATGTGGATGCTAATCCAAGGGCAGCCACGCACCAGCAAGCTTCAGCAAATCGCTCCATGTCCTGGAGCCTGGTCCCCATCTGTAGAATGGGTCTGTTCCTAGGACCTACCTGTGAGGAGGTTTGGAGGATTAAATGAGATGGATGCATAAAAAGCCCATAGCAGAATTAGTAAGCACTAAAGTAATGCTCTATTATTTATTAATATTTTCTTATTTAATTAAAATCATTTTTATTATTATTTTTCCTATTGCAATTCATTGACTTGCTGGATGCTTTTGAATGACTTATTTTCTCCTGTGTTTTTTTGTTGCCCATTGTGTAAAAGATGTTTACGGCTGAAGGTTGACCTTTGCGCTGAAAATTTACCTCTTTGATATAAGAAGGGGTCTGGTGATGGAACTGTGCCTCCTGGAGTAGAAAGGGCCTCGGGTCGTGGCTGTCTCTCCTTGGGCCATTTCTAAGCTGTTTCTACATTGGGTTTGAGGGAGAAGATATTTGTCCCTTCTTTTCTCTGGGTCCAACTCCAGTATTTGGCATCAAACCTTCTGTAGTTAGTGATTCCTTTGTAGAAGATAACATATGGCTTTTAGCCCTGGCTCCCCTCTCTCTCCTCCATTTTCATAATAAGCATGTCGTTTGGATCAGGAGTTTGACGAGTGTGGTGAGCTTAAATGACAGTGAATGACAATTTGGTTCAGCTTCTCCCCTTCTCCTCTATTTTGTATTTCAAGGCCTTTGGAAATGCCAGAACGCTCCGGAATGACAACTCCAGCAGATTTGGAAAGTATATGGACATACAGTTTGACTTTAAGGTACATTGAAGTTCCTGTTCCTGGTTCACAGGGACCCCTTAACTTGCCAGCAACGAGAGCCCAACCCAAGACAACTTAAAGGAGGAAGGGCATTTATTGGCTCAAATAGTTGAAAACCCCAAGATTAGTGCTAGTTTTAGGAAATGCAAATAAAGACCACAATGAGATGCAATTTTTTACCTTCTAGATGGACAAAAATTAGGTCTGATAATACCAGGTGTTGGCAAAGATATGGATCATTAGGAACACTTAAATATTGCTAGTGGGGTGTACATTGGTGCAACCCATTTGGGAAACAATATGTTGTGAAGTTGAAATCACATCATCTAAGGTGGAGCCATTCTACTCCTGGAGATATTGCTACTGGTGTACAAGTGTGCCTCCAACAGCACTGTTCATGGTGGCAAAAGGACTGGAAACAAGCAACACAGCTGCAGAGAACTGAACGGCCATCAACAGGAGAATGGCTCGTTAAATTGTGGGATGCTCACACAGGGAGGTGTTGCATGGCAGTGAGAGCAAATGAATGACAGCTACGCATAACGTGGATGGGTCTTGGGAACATATGCTGTGGATCAGTGAGATGTCATTTTTTATAAACCCTGGCTAGGGTTTCCCGGAGGCTGGTGCATGCACTTCTGGTGGAGTGTGCATAGACCCTGAAAATTTTAAAACTTTTTCTTGAAATTCAGCACACATACTGAAAATGACACAAATCGTGAGTACAACTCACTGAAGTTTTACCTATGTCTCTACTTGTGTAATCACCACTCAGATCAAGATATAAAAATTGCTGGCATCTAGAACATTCTTCTACCCCTCTCTAACAATATCCCTCTTCCCAAAGGTTATCGCTATTCTGACCTCCATAATAGATTCATTTTGCTGGTTCTTGAACTTCATGTCAATGGAATTACATAGTATGTTCTATTTTGCTGCTGGCTTCTTTCAATCAATGTGTCTGTGAGATTCATCCATGTCGCTGCATGTAGCGGTTGTTCATTTTTCGATTGTATGACTTTTATCACCATTTATCTGTTCCCCTGTTGATGGACATTTGGGTTTCCAGTTTGAGGCTCTTGCACATGGTGCTCTGAACATCCTCGTGCCTGTATTTTAGTAAATAGAAGCACTCATTTGTGTTGGGTACATACCCAGAAGTGGCATTGCTGGGTTCTCACCAGCAATGTTATCATAATTAATGACAGTTCCAGTTGCTCCACGCCCTTGCCAACATTTGGTATTGTCAATCCTTTTAGTTTCAGGCATTCTAGTGGCGTATAGTGGTTTCTCACTGTGACTTAAGTTTGTATCTCGTAGTTATTAATGAAGTTTTGCTAATTGGCTGCTTAAAAATCCGCTTTTATGTTAAAGTCTTTTGCCCATTTTTAATTGGGCTGTCTGTTTTTTCCTTTTGGCTTGCAAGTGTTCTATATATGTTCTGGAATACAAACCCTTTATTGGATATATTATTAAGAATAATAATTCAGACAGTGTGATATTGGCAGAAAGATATAAACAGGCCACTGGACTAGAACAGAGTCCGGAAAGACTGCCATGTATATGGTCACCTGACTTGTGACAAAAGCACCTCTGTGATTCAGTAGGGACAGGATTTTCTTTCCAATAAATGGTGCTGGTCCACTGGAAATCCATATGGATAAAAAAGACCTTTGACCTTCTACCTCCTTCCCTATACAAAAATTAAATAGTGATCGATCACAGTCCTAAGTGTAAACAGTAAAACAATCATGGTTTTAGGCAAAACCAGAAAATATCTTTATGACCTTGGGAAAGGCAAAAATCTTTTTTAAACGGAGCCCAGAAAACACTAGTCATAGAAGATTGATAGATCAGACTTCATGCAAATTCAGAAGTTCTGTTCCTCAGAAGACGCCAGGAAGAGAGTGGCTGGATTATTGTCGTTACCGCACTTTTTGTTCTGTTTTGAAGGGCATTCCTGTAGGTGGGCATATCATCAGTTACCTCATAGAAAAGTCTCGAGTCGTCTATCAGAACCAGGGCGAGAGGAATTTCCACATCTTCTACCAGCTGCTAGAGGGGGGCGAAGAGGAGCTCCTCGCTTACCTGGGCCTTGAGCGAGACCCCCAGCTGTATAAGTATCTCTCGCAGGTTGGATGGACCAGCACCTGGCTTTGGGGGATGTGTGTGGGGGCCCCTCCATGGGATGTTCAAGAACTTTCTCATTACCATTTTGGAGGTAACCTGCGGACTGGTTTCTTGACACTTCCCTTACCCCTCCCTTTACGCCTGGCAGGTATATCATCTTGGTAAGGTGACCAATATCTAGGAGAGTGGTCCTCAGCCCTGGCTAAAATTAGAATCTCCCCAGAAGGTTTTTAAACACGAATGCCTGGGTACTACCCTCCAGAAATTGGGATTTCATTGGTCTGGGGCGGGGACCTGGGCATCAGGGTTGTTTTAAACCCTTCCCTGTGATTAAATGTAATTCGGTTAATCCCCGGTGATTCTAATGCACGGCCAAGGTGAGAACCACCCGTCCAGGTGTGATAGAAACTCACTGTCCGTCTGTGTCCACCACCTGCGCCGCTTCGTTCTGCTTTCAAAACTAGTTCGGAGAAGACTTCCTCCACCTTCCTGCCTTCCATTCTGGGGATTGTTAGCTGCAAGACGAACGCTCTCCCCTACAGAAATAGTCCAGGCCATTCCCATAAGCAATCCCGGATCTAGTGTTGTAAAATCAGCTCGCAGAATTTAACTTCCCGGCACTAGGGTTCTAGAATGCCCAAATTGTACCATCTACCAGTATTTGATGTCGCTAGCACCTTTTTGCCCGAAGATTTTTGGATTTTTCTCTCCTTGCTGGGCCTGGCTTTGAACAGAGTTCACTTGGCAGAATGCAAGCGGGGACATTATTTAAGAAAGAGAACAAGGTCTTAAAAAGTGAATCTTGTAAAATGAGGACCAACATTTCACGGTAAATTGTGGAGGAAAAGAAGACTGAAATGTGTCTTGAAAAATAAAACTAAATAATGAAGATAAAAGAATCTCATTTTATATTTAATAAACTTTGTACTAATTCTTAGAACAAACAATCAATCAAATTTGATTTTTGAGCTGGCCGGGTGGTGTAGTGGTTAAGTGCGCTCACTCTGCTTCGGCAGCCTGGGGTTCGAGGGTTCAGATCCCTGGTGCAGACCTACACGCTGCTCATCAACCCACGCTATGGCGGCGTCCCACATAGAAAATAGAGGAAGATGGGCATGGATGTTAGCTCAGGGCCAGTCTTCCTCAAGCAGAAAGAGGAAGACTGGCAACAGATGTTAGCTCAGGGCCAATCTTCCTCACCTTCTTTTTGAGGACCTAATTTTTCCAATGAAGCTGTATGGTAGCATCGCATTTGGCTTTTTCACAGCGTGATCAGAGAGGATCAATGTGTAAAAATATTTAAGGTCTTCCTCCATTTTCCCAAGGGCTTTAGCTAACCTTTTTTTTAAAAGATTGGCACCTGAGCTAACAACTGTGGCCAATCTTTTTTTTTTTTCCCCTGCTTTTTCTCCCCACATCCCCCTGGTACATAGTCGTATATTTTAGTTGAGGGTCCTTCTAGTTGTGGCATGTGGGATGCCGCCCCAGCAGGGCCTGACGAGGATCCTGTCCTCGCCCAGGATCCGAACTGGCGAAACCCTGGGCCGCTGAAGCGGAGCGCGCGAACTTAACCACTCGGCCACTGGGCTAACCCCTAACCTTTTGATAATCAAATCATTTTCTGTTGGAACATATCATGTCTTGATCCTTGTAAATTTTTTCTGGCCAGGTTAATTTGGCCAGATCCTCATGCTATAGCAGCTTCGAAAATGAAAATTTAAGCAATTCGCCAGCATTATTTTAATCGATTTCCTGATCTCCTGTAACTTTGGCAAACTTTGTGGCTTTACTTTGAGGATATTTGCAGTGCTTCCAACCCTCTGGGTGTCCTGGAAGGACTGACCTGCACCGGCCTGGCTCTTGGGGGGCAGAGCAGGTGCTGCTGGTTGCCTGGGGAGGGGTGTGTGGGAGGCCGCAGATTTAACGCTGGCCAGTTCATAGGTGACTATCTTCATGGCGCGACACCTTTGGTTTCCCGGTGCAAGAAGGAACTCTTTTAAGATAACAAATCTTCAGACAACCAGGAAACTCGGAATACCTTGTACTACAAAAACAAAATAATAAAAAACCCTCATCCAGAATGTTTTCTCTTTAAATTGTGACATTGGTGGTCTGTTACTTATTTAAAGGACAAATTCTAGAATTAGTGGTTCTCACTTCCGCTGGTGATGATTTCCGTGTAATCTCTGTTTCTCTAAATGCCAAACTTTTATTTCTTTGAGCAAGGGTCTCCTTCCATCTAGCCCTGCAGTGAAGTCAAGGTTATTTTCTGAGTTTAGGCACTATTTCCCTGCATGTTTCAGCAGACATTTATTGAGATAAACATCTTCCATTTATTTAGCAAAAACAGCGAGAAAAACTATTTTTAAAAACACATACAAAGAGATATACCACTAAAATGTAACTTTGAAAGTTTTCCCAGAACAGAGATAAAATTCCAAATAAATTTGAAAAAAAGCAGCAGTTAACAAACCATCGTGTGCTGGACACCTAGAATAAAACCCATTTTTTCACAATTCAGAACAGTATAAACCAGGTCTTGGGTGCTTGTAGAGAAAACCATTTGATTTAGGAATAAGTGATCACACGCCTAACAGTCCTTATAAAAATGCCCTTAAGTGACCCAATTCTGTGTCAACAGGGTCATTGTGCCAAAGAGTCATCTATTAACGACAAGAATGACTGGAAAACTGTTTCCAATGCTTTTTCTGTCATCGATTTTACTGAAGATGACCTTGAGGTATGGGCCCCAGTAAGGTCTGGGATTCAGGGAACCCAGTCTCTTGCTGATTGCACAGTGGGGTTGCCAGATTCAGCAAATAAAAATACAGGAGGCCTCATTACATTTTAATTTCAGGTTAACAATGACCAATGTTTTAGCATAAGTATATCCCAACATTGCCTGGGACAAACTTATACTAAAAAATTAGTCGTTGTTTGGGCTGGCCCAGTGGCACAGCGGTTAAGTTCGCACGTTCCGCTTCTCGGCGGCCCGGGGTTCGCTGGTCGGATCCCAGGTGCAGACATGGCACCACTTGGCACGCCATGCTGTGGTAGGTGTCCCACGTATAAAGTAGAGGAAGATGGGCACGGATGTTAGCTCAGGGCCAGTCTTCCTCAGCAAAAAGAGGAGGATTGGCAGCCGTTAGCTCAGGGCTAATCTTCCTCAAAAAAAAAAAATTAGTCATTGCTTATTTGAAATTCAGTGTTAACTGGGCATTCCGCATTTTATCTGGCAGCCCTGTGCTTTCCCTGTGTTGTGAGCAAGAAGGAGGTCATGTCCTTTCCTCCCTCAAGTCCAGTCTCAAATTTTTAGATCTCACGGAATCTCATAGATAATGAATTCTCGTAGAATTATCCTTTACGCTCTTATTTTGGAACAAACTAGGACAAATTGTAGGATTTATAAACATTTTGTTTTTACGTCTTTTTTTTTTTTGATGGTTAAAACTGTTGCGCTTTCAAGGACCGAAATATAATTTAAACCTTGCACGATCAGAAAGGGTATTTGAACGTTAAATGGGTTTTTTTTGGGGGGGGGGGGTAGATAGAAAAATAAAAGTATCCCGTACTGGAGGTTGAATGAGGCGTCTTCCCGCCCTGGGCTGCGGCTCCTCCTCCCCCTACCCGCTTCTGTGAGGTGGGGGCAGGGATTAGGAAGGGGGGCGGTATTCCCTTGGGTATCTCTGATGATGTTTATCAATTAGGTGGCCGCCATCTTCTCTCCCTGTCCTCCTCACCGCCTCCCCTGTTCCTAGAATCTCTTTGGAATTATTGCCAGTGTCCTACACCTGGGGAACGTTTGTTTTGAAGAGAACCACCAAGGCCGCGCCGCCGTACCACACACCCACGAGATCGAATGGATAGCCAAGGTGATGGTCCGCTTGGGAGGTCTGGACCCTTTCCGAGGGGGAGAGGCGGGAGACGGGAGCGAGGCAGCTGCATGCCCACGTCCCAGATGGCCAGCACCATCTTCTTCCAGCTGATACTGGTCAGGCGGTTCAAAGAGTGTGGGGGCAGTGAGGGAGTGGGAGAAAGCGAGTTGGGTGAAAGACCGAATGTGGTCTGTTTTGCATTAAAGCATAATTGTCGGTCAAGGTGGATGACCCTGGGCCTGGAAACTGCATGAACTCTTTATGAACTACAAAATCAAATCTGGTCAATCAATGGCGTTTTGGTTTCCATTTATTCAGCTCCTGGGGGTCCACTCATCGGTCCTTCTGGAAGCTCTCACCCACAGAAAGATCGAAGCCAAAACTGAGGAGGTAAAAAGGGCTCTGGGTGGAAATGCACTTGACCCCCGGCCACTGCTGCCAGCAGATGGTGACCCTAGGGGAGGCCAGGTCCCTGAACCCTGCACACCAGGTCTTGCAGGTCCAGCTCCCCCCAGTATCTCCTGCCTTAACCTCCCCATCCTCCACCGTCACACCATCACTAGCTCTCCATGCCTCACACTCGCCATGCCTCCCCTCCACGGGGTCTTTGCACATGCTATTTCCTCTGCTATCCTTCAGTTCCCGGGTCACTTCCTCAAGGAGCCTTCCCTGCTCCCCCCCCCCCCCCCCCCGCCCCCCGCAACAAAGCACCATATGCATCTGCTTACAGTGCTTGTCACTCTCAGCTTGGGGGCAACGTGACTCTTCTTTGTGCCGCTCATTAAATGTCTCTCCCCTCCCCCTCCCCATGAAAAGGCTGGAACTGTCTGTCTTGATCACAGCTGTATCTCAGCAGCCCAGCACAGTGCCTGGCACATAGTAGGTGCTCAAGAAATTGCTACTGCATAACACATCAGATGGGAGTGTCATCTCCCCCATCACGTATCTTTCTTTCTTTTTCTTTAGTTTTTATTACTTTTTTTATTGAGGTCATATTGACTTATAATTTTGTGTAAATTTCAGGTGTACATTATTATATTTCAGTTTCTGTATAGACTGCATCGTGCTCACCACCGGTAGTCTAGTTTCCATCTGTCACCAAACATGTGTGTCCCTTTACCCCTTTCACCCTCCCCCCACACCCTTCCCCTCTGGTAACCACTAATCTGTTCTTATCTGTGTGTTTGTTTGTTTGTCTTCCACATATGAATGAAACCATACTGTATTTGTGTTTCTCCCTCTGACTTATTTTGCTTAGCATAATACCCTCAGGGTCCGTCCATGTTGTCTCAAATGGCATGATTTTGTCTTTTTTATGGCCTAGTAGTATTCCATTGTGTATATATATATATATATATATATATATATATATATATATATACACACACCACATCTTCTTTATCCATTCATCCCTTGATGGGCACTTGGGTTGCTTCCACTTCTTGGTTATTGTGAATAATGCTGCATATCTTTCAGTAGTCATCATTAAAGGCTAGTTGGAAAACTCAGAGGCTTTTTCTTTCTTTCTTTCTTTTCCCTGTAATGATGCACCTGTCGTTCTTCTCAGGTGATATGCCCATTGACACTAGAACTCTCTGTCTGTGCTAGAGATGCAATGGCAAAGGCTGTTTACGGACGAACATTTACTTGGCTGGTCAACAAAATCAATTCCTCCTTAGTGAACAAGGTTAGTCCACACGTCTCGGATGGCATGCTCTCACTGACGTGGTAATAATGTTTTATAATCATCGTTACTGTAAAGGCTGTGGGAATTGACTGTAAGCTCGGTAGGGACGGTGTCTCTCCATGTCTACATTTCCAGCGTCCAGCACACAGTGGGTTCACAAAAATACACACTGAGTGATTTTTTTTTTTAACTCCTACTCCAGACTCCAGATTAAATGTTCTCTCCCATTTTTCTTCCACTTTCCCAGGAAGAGCTTGTTGCTCCTTCTACGCCCCTCATTGTAGTTTGAATAAATCTCTATTATAATAATTGCTCTAGGTATTTGTGGTATTTACTATAATTGTATAAATACACGTAATTATTTATTTATGTCTGTCTCCAAAATTAGTGTGAAGATGTGGAGCCCTGATGAGTTTCTTTTTTTTTTAAATTGGGACGTAATTGACATATAACTGTGTAAGTTTAAGGCATACAACATATTAATTTGATACATTTATATTGCAATATGATTGCAGTTGTAGCATTAGTTAACACCTCTGTTGTGTCACATAATTATCATTTCTTCTAATGGTGGAAACAATTAAGATCTAGTCTCTTAGCTTGTTTAATGTTTATAATACAGTATTGCTGTCTATAATCACTGTGTTGTGTGTTAGATCTCAGGACTTATTGATCCACTAGTTGCAAGTTTGTAACCTTAAACAACGTCTCTCCCATCCTCCCAACCCCAGCCACTGGTAACCACCATTCCACTCTCTGTTTTTTTGAGTTCAGTTTTTTTTTTTTTTTTTTTTAGATTCCACAAACAAGCGATATCATACAGTATATGTCTTTCTCTGTCTGACTTATCTCATTTGGCCTGATGCCCTCGTGGTCCATCCATGTTGTTGCAAACACGCTGAATGATTTTTGCAGTGTGTCCCAAAGTGTAGGACGTACAGCATTCGCAGTATGCTACATGGCTTTAAGCACAGACAGAAACTTTCCATTTTAACAGCAGTATATTTTCATGTGTATAAGAAAAAATATAGGGGCCTGCCTGGTGGTGTAGTGGTTAAGTTTGCGGGCTCTGCTTTGGCGGCCCGGGGTTCACAGGTTTGGATCCCAGGCACAGAATTAGCACCGCTCATCAAGCCATGCTGTGGTGGCATCCCACATAAAGTAGAGGAAGATTGGCACAGATGTTAGCTCAGGGACAATCTTCCTCACACACACCCACAAAAAAGAACAAGAAAAAATGACTCTGAACTCACCCTAAGGTCATGTTTCCTTTTTAAGTGGAATTATTTAGATAAAAAAGGGAGTTTACTCAAAGCTAGAAATTAAGGAAATGATACAAGAGCAGCGGGTAGGTGGATGTGTTGAAACTCATGGAGGCAGAATGCAAAGGACGGGTTTTGGAGGCATCAATTCCCTACGCCATACAGAATGTTAAATTGTGTCCCTTTCCAAAAAAAATAAAAGCACGTGCTTTTTAATAGCCATCTTTACCTGACAGCACTCGGTCCTCTATTTAAAATGGTGTCCATGCCACCTGTCTTCTCTATGCATAGACGTCCCCCTGGCTGTTGTCTGCAGGTCTCTTCCTCTCTCCGGGTTGGACGTGGGCTTGGGAGGCTGCGGCAAGGAAGCGACTCAGTGGGGGAAGCTCTTGGGACCCTGGTGATGGTTATGGAAGCTGGGGTGGGGCCTGGGCTGGCTGCGGGCAGGAGGAGCGGGCTGGGGGAATTGTTTCCGTGCTAAGGCTCTTCCGTGAGCCACCACTGGAGAGAGAGAAGGCGTGAGCTTTGCAGCCAGGGCCCAGCTTTGGGGGCAGCTACCTGGTTTTGAGCGTTGCAAAGTAAAAGACCTAAGGATTAACGTCGTGTGTTATTTTGACTAGGATTTCACCAAGAAAACTGTGATCGGATTGCTGGATATCTATGGCTTTGAAGTCTTCGACAAGAATGGGTGAGTTTGTCTTGACCTACTGGTCCTTGGTCCTTTAAGGTCTCAATCTGGCTTAAGCCATCCCTAACGTTATTGCAATTGATTTTCCCATCTTGAGAAATTCTCCAGATTGGCATAGCTCCTAATTCGTGGACCATTCCAGAAGTGGAATAACCATAAGAAATGCAAACGTCTTTTAGCTTGACTCTTACCTATTTAGTAAATTATTTGATTAACAAGGACTTTGCTTTTTCTGTGTTAAAAAGTATCCTTAAAAAAAAGTAAATAAATTTTTAAAAATTGGTCTGCTTGTGTAGCTTTAGTTATTTAAATCTTTCATATCTCTAGTTTTGAACAGTTCTGTATAAATTACTGCAATGAGAAACTCCAGCAACTCTTAATTGAGAGAACCCTAAAAGCAGAACAGGCAGAATATGAGATGGAAGGTATAGAGGTAAACATTTTGATGTTTTCTCCTCATTTGATTTCTTTCTCTAGCCAAAGACATTTACTTGAGAAATATTATTTCATTGGTGATTTTTCCTGATTAGAGCTAAGAACTGTCTTTCACTCCTTCTCTGCTTATTTCCTGGGAAATTATTTTGATCCTCAGAAAGTATTATTTTTTAATGTTAGAGATAAAAATCAGATTTTGAGAAAAAATTTTGGAAAATCAATTTAAAAGAAGTACACATCATTCTCATCTAAATCCTTCTCGGAGACGTCTTTCCCCTTTGTCATTTTAGTGGGAGCCAATTCAGTATTTCAACAACAAGATCATCTGTGATCTGGTGGAAGAGAGACACAAAGGGATCATTTCCATTCTGGTGAGAAAATTAATGTTGACTCAGAGCCCGTTTGTACGGTGTTTGCAACACGTGGAAGGACTTTTTCCCATGCTTACAAAGGGTTGAGGGTGGATCCACTGGATTATTGGAGCTGAGCTGTTTTGCTGAATTCTTGCTCAGAGCTCTAGGCTGAACTTTCTCTTATTTGGGTTCACAGACCTCAATTAGAGCCCACTGGGAGATAGCAAGGGAAGCCTTCGGGAATGAAGGCGTGCATGTCTCTATCTTCCGTAGACAGGGAAGGATGAGCAGGAGACCTGAGGACCCAGGGTGGGCCGGTGTGCAGTAGCAACTGGGGAGGGGCTGCCTTCAAGCTTAACCCTGAGCAGGAAGCCAGAGAATGCAAAGGAAGGCTTTACAAAGAACATCCGTTGATCCCAAGTTGAGGCTCTTTGGGATGGGCCTGTGACCACCTTGTCTTGCACTCTTGCAACTTCTGAGAACATCAGTGTCCTCGAATCCACAGTTGTTTCCATTCAGACATCAGTTTGTTTGTTTGTTTGTTTGTTTTAAGGAAGATTAGCCCTGAGCTAACATCTGCTGCCAATCCTCCTCTTTTTGCTGAGGAAGACTGGCCCTAGCAAACATCCTTGAGCTAACATCCTTGCCCATCTTCCTCTACTTTATATGTGGGACGCCTACCACAGCATGGCTTTTGCCAAGCAGTGCCATGTCCGCACCTGGGATCCGAACCGGTGAACACAGGGCCGCCAAAGGGAAACATGTGAACTTAACCACTGTGCCACCGGGCAGGCCCCTGTTTGCCTCCCTTTTCATGCAAATAACTGGTCCCCTTCCTCCTCCTGCCCACCCCTCCCCCGCCCCACCTAAACCAGCATTCTAAAGCACAGCCAGGACAGTAAGGGGTGGTGACATCGTTGCCAGGAACCTGGGCACCATCCGGATTCAAATCCCAATCCCCTTTGCTACTAGCTGTGTAACCTTAGGCAGGTATCTTAACCTCTCTGGGCTCCAATTTCATCGTCTTTTAATGGGAACAATGATAATGGCACTTCCCTTAGAGAGGAGTTGTAGGGACAAATTAAGTGAGATTATACGTGCAAAGGGCTTAGAACTATGCCTGTGAATGATAAGCAGTCAGACTGTATTCTTTCAACAAATGCTTACTTTGTGCCAGCGTTGTGGCCTGTGCTTTGGGACACAGCAGTGGACAAAACAGATCAAAACCTTTGTACTCAGGAGGCTTCAAATTCTAGCACAGGGAGACTGACGATGAGCAGGTTAATAGGCAAAATGTGTAGATTGTGCAATGGAGAAAACAGAAAAGATCAGATGTGCTGGGGTGGGGGTTCAATTTTAGGTAAGATGGTCTGGGAAGGCCTCGCTGAGAAGGTGACATTTGAGCAAAGGCCTGAAGGAGGTGAGGAGACAAGCTGTGTGGACATCTGGGGAGCACGTTTCAGGAAGCACGGACTGACGTCAGCCGATGTATGTACATTCAGTGTCCATATGGATTGCTAGACTAGTATTTTAAAATATGCTAGTAATAAATTCTTCTTTCTATTTGGTTTTCCATAGATGGAGTCAGAAAGCATAGAAATGCTGCTTCATAAGAGTTGTTTCACCAGCTTTAACCCAGGTTTTTTTTGGTTGTTGTTTTAATAAAAGCTACAGGGTTGGTTCATTTTTCAAGATGGTCAATGAAATGTTGTCACTGTTGAGGACCCAAAATAAGAAATAGAAACAAACAGCTTCGAGATGGTGACAGGTTAGGCTTAAGTGGCTTTATAGCTTTCTTTCCGTGGGGACGCGGATCCTGGTAAAAGGAGATATGTTCTTGGCCAGCAATGACTGCTTAGGAGCAAATGAGACTGAGTGTTTAAGGAAGCTGGTCGTGGATGCTGCAGTGTCCTTGGGAAGACTCTGGAAATATGGGTCAGATGTGTGGGAGAGCTGACTTTTCATGGCATTTCCGGTCCTCTGGGAAGCTGAGCACGTGTAATGGGTTACTGCTGCCCACCCCCAGCGTGAGATGTGAGAACCTGTGTGAGATGACAGCATTCCAGGCCAGTACGTTCCGCCACGGTGAAAGCATTTAAACTTGGAATTGATGGAGTGTGAGGATATGGGTTGAGGCTTCTCTTTTCTTTTCAAGAATGAAGAATGTACACGTCCAGGTCCTGCTACAGACTTGAGTTTCCTGGAGAAACTGGAAGAGAAAGTGGGCAAGCACGCACACTTCCAAACGTACGTCCTTCGTCTGACAGGCTGTTGTGTCGGGGGAGGTCGTTGTGTTTCCATTTTATGGGGGGTATGTGGGCAGTGCTCCCCAAGAATACAGCTTCTTCTTCAGACATAGAAATATCATTATGATACACCAACTCATAAACATGTGTATCCTTTGTTAGCAGACATCCGACTCAAATGAATTCCAAGGAGAATTTTCTAAGATTTTGTGTCTTGCTTTGTTCATGATCATTACATTTTGGGCATGTCCACATGCATGAAATAAGTCTTTTTTTGAAAAATCAGGTATAAAATACATACAGTGCTATGTGTAGATCTGAAAGGTACAACCCAATGAGATTTTATATTTGTGTATATCCACACAGCTACTGTGCAGATCTAGATACAGAGCATTTGCAGCATCCTAGAAGATTATCTAGAAATTTAACTTAAGTCTTTGAGAGAAGGAGGACTCTGGAGCCTACGCTCTGGAGTCATTAAGACCTGGTTTTGAATCCTAGCCTGGCCACTTATGAGTCATGTGCCTTTGGGTAAGCCACATTCCTGCATTTGAGTTTCCTCTTCTGCAAAATGGGGATATTAATCCCCACGTATACATGTATATGTCAGTGCTGCCATGTCTACAGTACTGGAAATCACCTACTGGAACATAAATCACCTACTGGAATTTCGGGCCACGGCAAAGATTCAGTAAATGGTAGTGGCTTTATCAAACCTTTTGTAGAATATCGCAAGGACAAATAAAGGAATTAGATAAGTAAATGAATCAAGAATGGAAAAATAAATTGTGGTACATTCACAAATGGAATACCATAAAGCCATGAGAACAAACAGTCTATAAGTACACGCATTGATGTGGGTAAATCACACAAGCATGTAATCAAGAGAAATCAGGGCTGGCCCAGTGGTGCAGCAACAAAGTTCGCATGTTCCACTTCGGCGGCCTTGGGTTCGCAGGTTTGGGTCCCGGGTGTAGACACGGTACCGCTTGGCAAGCCATGCTGTGCCAGGTGTCCCACATATAAAGTGGAGAAAGATGGGCATAGATGTTAGCTCAGGGCCAGTCTTCCTCAGCAAAAAGAGGAAGATTGGCAGCAGATGTTAGCTCAGGGCTAATCTTCCTCAAAAAAGAAAAAAAAAAAGAAAAGAAATCAGACACAAAAGAGTACATACTATATGATTCCACGTCTATAAAGTATAAAACCAGGTGAAACCAACCTATTCTGTTAGATATCAAGTTGTGACTGGAGAGGACACAAAGGGGAGGGTTCTTAGAGACTGGTAATGTTCTGTTTCTTGATCTGGGTGCTAGTTACATAGATGTGTTCAGTTTGCAAAAGTTTATTGAACTGTACATTTAGGATATGTGCATCGTCAATGTATATATATATAAAGAAAAAGTTACAAAAACTAAGAATCACCAGAATCTGAAATTTTTTTCATGAGTATTTTAGTCTCTCAACATCGTAAAAATATAAGATAGTAAAATTGCTTCTTAGTTATCACCTGGAGAGATAGAAATGATTTCATTGTACAAATACATGTGTTTCCGTGGCTCGTGTGTGTTCTTTCATTCTTCAGTTCTTATGAGAAGGAAAGTTCTACTTTTTGAGAGAGCTTGCTCTAGAGCCAGATGGAACAGGTAGCTTGGCGTCCTGGGGGCTGCCGTTTGTGGCTAGCTTCAGTGCTGGCCACCAGTTGATTGTCGTGCTCCTAAACAGCCTGTCAGAGTCTTCTCCCTCTTTCTCTTTGCTTTGTATACTGGTGCATTTTGTTGCAGTAAAGTACAAAGGTTCAGTTCATGCTTATTTCTGTCTTGCTGTAGCCGGAAGCTGGCGGGTCCCAAGGGCCGAAAGAGGATTGGCTGGATGGAGTTCCGACTCTTCCACTACGCGGGAGAGGTCACGTACTGCACCAAAGGTGAGCACCCGTGGGGCACGGGTAACAGCCGCGCAGGTGCCCCTGTGTCCAGTGAGCCAGCGCACTGAGGGGACGCTGCACGTCCATCTCAAACACTCACTGGCTTTGCATTTGAACCTGCCACTTGAAAAGTCTTTCTAATTTTATTTTTTTTTGTATATAATGACTTTATTGAGATGTAGTTCACATACTATACATTTCACCCATTTCAAGTGTACAATTCAACAGGTTTTAGTATATTCACCATACGGTTATGCAGCCATCACCACAGTCCACTTTAGAACATTTTATCACCCCAAGAAGAATAGCAGTGTCTCCTCATTTTCCCCAACTCCATCCCCCACAGCCCTACTTTCTGTCTCTCTAGATCTGCCTATTCTGGACATTTCATATCAATGGACACACACAATATATGGACTTTTGCGTCTGGCTTGTTTCACTGAGCATAATGTTTTCAAGGTTCGTCCATGGTGTCATTCCTTTTTATTGCCAAATAATATTCCATTGAATGGAGAGGCCACATTTTGTTTATCCACTTATCAATTGTTGGGCCATTTGGGTTGTTTCCACTTTTTAGCTATTATGAATAATACTGCTAAGAACATTTTCTTTCAAAACACTTAAAAAACGTTTTCTTTTGTCACTTCTGTTTCAGGATCTAAATTATTTTTACTTCTAAATAAAGTTATTTCTCTAAGAGTCTTTAAAATGTAATATAACATGTATTAGGGTTTTTTCCTTAAATACAGAGTGATATAAAAAAGAAAAAAAAGTAAAGAATAGGATGAATTTCTCTATATAGATCATCTATTGATTTTTGTTTAAAGAATAAAAGTAATACGTGTGTAAGCCTAGAAATTGCTGACGGCACAGAGAAGTACAAAAGGAAAACTAAAAGTGGGGCCGGCCTGGTGGTGCAGTGGTTAATTTCTTGTGCTCTGCTTTGGCAGCCTAGGGTTCACAGGTTCAGATCCCGGGCTCAGACCTACACACTGCTCATCAAGCCATGCTGTGGCAGCATCCCACATACAAAATAGAGGAAGATGGGCACAGGTGTTAGCTCAGGGCCAATCTTCCTCACAAAAAAAGCAAAAACTAAACTAAAAGCCCCTCTTACCCCTAGTCTCCACTTGAGGTAACCACAGGAACGGACAGTTATTTGTAATTACTTTCAGGAAGATAGAAATGTTTACTGCTAATACCTACATATGTGGGGACACACACACACACACACACATTAAATAACACAGGCTGTTATGTTGTGTTGTCTATTTTGCATTTTTCACTTAATGAATAGTGGAGATCATTTGGACTCCAACGTTAGCTGGCAGAGCTGGGTCCAGACCCAGGCCTTTTTCTTCCGGTCTTGCCTCCACTTTCCACAGCAACATTCCAATTCCACCACATTCTTTTGTGAAAAGCTACAGGCACTCCCCATGGGGCTGGGTCCTGTCGTCTATTTGATGGACACTGGCTGTTTCCAACATTGTCTCTTGTAAATATTGCTACATTCGGCGTCTTTGTATATTTCACTTGGCCAATGTGTGCACACTATTTACATAGGATAAATTCCCAGAAGGGGCATTGCTGAGTTAAAGGTTCTACCAGAAGTTAGTTTTGACCACTTCTGTGTATGGACCCAAAAGAAGTGAAAGCAGGGACTCCAGCAGATATTTGCACACCCTTGTTCGTAGCAGCATTATTCACAATAGCCAAAAGGTGGAAGCAACCCAAGTGTCCGTCCGTAGATGATGGATAAACAAAATATGGTGTGTATATATATATACACATATGTACAATGTATATACATATATACAATGGAATATTATTCAGCCTTGAAAAGGAAGGAGATTCTGACACATGCTGCAACATGGATGAACCTTGAGGACATTAAGTGGGTTAAACCAGTCACAAAAAGACAGATTCTGTATGATTCCACTTATATGAGATCCCTAAAATAGTCAAATTCATAGAGACAGAAAGTAGAAGAATGGTTATCAGGGGCTTTGAGGAGCGAGGAATGGGGGAGTCTGTGTTTAATGGGTACAAAGTTTCAGTTTGGGAAGATGAAAAGAGTTCTGGAGGTGGATGGGGGTGATGGTTTCACAACAATGTGAATGTACTTAGTGCCACTGAACTATACACTTAAAAATGGTTAAAATGGCAAATTTTATGTTATGCATGTTCTACCACAATAAAAATGTCCGTTTTGATCACTCCAAATTGTCATCTAAAAGGTTGTATCTTAGACATTTTGATGCATGTCTTTTTTCTGATGCATGTCTTTTTTAGCTGGTTTTGACTTTATAAAGCCATTTCGTTACTAATTTAGTTATTAACTGACTAGGTGTTGAGCGAGCACTTATAAGCCAAGTTTTAAAGTTGGGAGTGACACATCTTCCTTTGTATGAAGATGCTGCTGGGTACCACTAGCTCTGGTGCTTGAGTTTGACTTTTCTCAGTGGGAGGATGATCTTCTCATTCATCTACATAGACTCACCTGGCCACCCTTGGAATTCAGTGCCCTCTCTGTTGTTTCTATGTCATTCATTGTACGTGTCGTTCTTTGCTACTGGACTGGAGCACGTGTACGATACTTGGCGTAAAGGCTCATTTTTCATGTGATAGCGCATTGGGGGTTAGAGCCTGTTAGCTCAGGGCCTGTGTACCTGTCCCTGGCAGTGTCTAGAGACCTACGTGGTTGTGACACCTGGAGAGGGTGCTCCTGGGTGGGAAGAGGCCAGGGATGCTGCTACACATCCTACAGTGCACAGGACCGTGCCCCCAGCAGAGAATTATCTAGCCCCAAATTTCAATAGTGCCGTAATTGAGAAACTCCGATCCCAGCCTAAGAGGTTATTTTTTGGATTTCCCTTTGCAATCAGTTGAGATGGAATTGCGTTTTCAGGCAAAGCCATTGATTCAAAAAATCTTTATTCAATGTTTTACAGGATTCTTAGAAAAAAACAATGATCTCCTCTACAGACATTTGAAAGAGGTAAGTTTGAAATTTAACTAGAGGTGTTTCTGACAGTCGCAAAGTATCACCCATGACGCTGGGGGTGGGGGGTTAGATTTGGCTGGATTTTTCTCGTCTATGCATTGTGTTAGAATTCCAGCATCTCGTGGCCGGGACAGACATTTAAGGGCATCTGTGTGAACCCCTGACTCAACAAACCTATTCAAGTGTGAGGTGCCCCTCTTGTGTGCCAGGCACTGTGCTAGCTCTGGAGTCCCAGCAGTGAGCAAGGCAGTCCTTGTTCTTAAGGGCTTATCATTGAAGGGGGACGTGGGGGGAGAGTGGTGAAGAATAAATATATACACAAATAAGTTGTCCATTAGTGAGAATTTCTATGTAGAAAATAAGCAAGGAACTGTGATCGAGGGGCACAGTTTTAATTTAGTTTAGAGGATCAGAGAAACCCTGTGGAGGTGAGTTTGAGCTGAAACCTGAATGAGAATGATCTTGGCCATGGAAAGATGAGGGGTTACTCCAAGTGGAGGGGCCAGCAAGTGCAAAGGTCCTGAGGCCAAGAGGCTCAGCGTGTGTTCAGTGAGGGGTAATGTTAGGAGAGGGGGCTGAGAGCTTGGCAGGGTGAGGTCCCCAGGGAGGAGTAGGGATTTTGTCCTGGTGCAGTGGGAATATACTGGGGTGACATGCACTGAGGATGAGGAAACAGAGACCCAGAGAGGTCACGACTTGCTCAAGGTCACATCGAGAGGTGGGGCTAGAGCCAGGATTAGCCCCTGGGGCTGCCAAGGAAATTCCCAGTCTCCTTCCATACACCTGACTGATCAGAGAAAACTTGAGATTTTAAAGCCTTTATTTTGTATTGAAATAGTTAACCGTTTGGTACAAAGTTAGATTTTATTTAATTAGCTTGGTTTGTAAAAAGCTTAAACTTAATGTTCTAAAGGAGACGTTTTCAGAAGGAAGATGCAAATGGTTCATCTCAGGAGTTTTCTGCCCTTCTCTGTCTCTCTCTACTGCTTCTAGGACCGCGATGTCTGGGATTTGGGATGGATAAGCAACTTCTAACTTTGGGTCTCTGCTCTGGGGGGGATGCTGTCTGGGTCTGAGTCTCAGTCTGACTCCTTCCTGGCTGGGGGTCCCATGGCAGATTTCCCATCCGTGACTGATGATGGTGCCTTCCTCTCAGAGTCGCTGTGAATGACACAGGAGGGGAAGGGCCTGGCTGACGAAGGGAAGATAGACTTCCTCTCATGGCTCTCCCCTCTTCAGCCAGGCCATTCCCTTCACAAACCCCTCCACGAGGGTGCTTCCCCCAGGGAAGGCCTCCTAGTCTCTCACTTCACCAACCGGGGCTGAAGTTCCTTGCACTTTTTTTTGACTTTGAGATGGGTCCTTTCTGATTTTTTCCTTTCCTGTCTGCAAATTACTCTTTCATGCCGCTGTCAAGTTACAATTGGGAGGAGTTAAACAAGAAAAAATTTGTCTATTAAAACTAATTTTCAATTGTGGTAAAATATACATACATCACATAAAATTTACCATCTCAGCCATTTTTAAGTGTACGGTTCAGCCGTGTAAGTACATTTACATTGTTGCTACCAAACCGGGTTCATTTTGCCCATTGCACAGAAAACTGATCACCAAAACGACGAGGCTGCAACAGAAAAAGGGTTTTAATGACAAGGCAGCCAAGCGAGGAGATGGGAGAACCGTCTCAAATCCCCCTCCCCAAAAATGAGGACATAGGAATATTTATGGGATAAAGGGGCAGGGTGGTCCGAAGTGTGGGAAGAGACGACTGGAGGTAAGGAGAAGGGAGGTAATTGATGATGTGCGCAGGCGCCGTCAGGCTTCCCGCCTCTTCATGGGAACCGTGTCCACAACATGGCGGTCGGTGCAGGCGTGATCTGAGGGGGTAGTTTTCAGCTCCGTGACCTCAGGAGTTCACTTATCGGGCACCCGCGCAGGCTGGGTTGGTGGGTTGGTGGGTTGGTGGTCTCCATTGGTCTCCTGAACCAAAGTGAGGTTGATCTCTAATTTCTGAAAAACAACTCAAGCATCCGTTACCTTGGTGACCCAGGCGCCAGGGAGGTTTTATCTACAGGAACCGGGAGGGAGTCGGATACTAAGTTGCCTAAGCAGCACAGTTCGCCAAGGGCAGGCGAACAGCTAAGAGCTACAATTAAAAACCTTAATGACACTTTAAGTACTAGCTACCTAATCGTTAATGGCTAACTGTTCACCAGTTTCCTTGTTGTGCAGTTTCCAGAATTCTATCTTGCAAAACTGAAACTCTGTACTCCTTAAACAACTCCCCATTCCCTTTCTTCCCCAGCCCCTGGCAACCACCATCTACTTTCTCTCTATGAATTTGACTCCTCTAGGTACCTCTTAGAAGCAGAATGATACAGTATTTGTCCTTTTGTGACTGGCCCATTTCGCTCAGCATAATGTCCTCAAGGTTCATCCATGTTGTAGCATGTGTCAGAATTTCCTTCCAAGGCTGAATAATATTCCATTGTATGTAGGTGGGGAAAAGTTTTTTGTCAAATTTTTTTTTAAAAATATAGATATTTTGGAAATATGTGCACAAGGGGAAACAACTCCAACAGTACAAAAGCTGGTGTCTTTGGCCCCATGTTGCTAAGTGTCTCTCCTGAGAGTCAGCTGTTCTCACCAGTTGTGTTTATCATTGTGTTTATCGTTTCAGGGATGGTACAGACCAGGATGTGTGCGTGTGTGTGTGTGTGTGTATCTCCTCCTTTTCCTCTTCTCTTTGCACAATAATAGCACACTATGCATGAAGTCCTGCATCTTGCTTTTTTCACTTAGCACCATATCTTGAAGATCATTGTTCAAGAGCCAGTTTGTTCTGTAGCAGCGGGGCTGGCCTAGGAACAATGATTGCTTCGTCACGTCAGAGGAAATAGAATCAGACGGCCTCAGCAAGTAGAGGGAGCCGTGGATACAGTATCTGAACATTTCCTTCCACGTTTGATTGTGTTTTCCCCTCTTCTTCTCCGAGTGCTCCTGGAGCGAATGGCTCTGGTCCGTCGTGCACACTTGTGTGAGCTTTCCTGAAGACCCCTTAGTGGTTCTGAAGCAGCAAATGTGGTGCTCATTTCTCTGTACTTCCAGGTGCTGTGCAGGTCCAAAAACAGCATCCTGAAGGAATGCTTCCTGGTGGCCGAGTTAGAAAATCGGAGAAGGCCGCCAACGGTGAGCAGGAAAGATGCCCGTGCCAAATTTGAAAGAGGGTGCGGTCCCCCAGAAGGTGCTCTCCTCCAGTTAGCTACGCTTTTTCAGTTGTCCTACCCTTTTCTGGAAGCATCACTCTCTGACAGGTTCTGCTGCATAGATACTTCCCAAGGTTAAGGACCAGTGTGTTCATTTACAGACATTCATTGAGCACCTGCTGTGTATCAGACACTGTGCTGGGCACAGGAGATTTAGCAGTAACCGACAAGGCCCCTGTCCTCACGCGGCTTACAATTTAGTGAGAAAGGGTATAGGAAAATACTATCAAGTAAAGGAAGAACTTGTGCTATCGCGAGTGTCGTGAAGGAAGCTTGGTAACAAGGAAACAGGGGAAGGTGGTGGAGGGTGACTGGCTCGACGGTGATGCTGGCTCCCATGAGGTGCTCACCCGGTACTTGCTGGGTGAGAGGAGCATCCTGGACGGATGCTTGTCCAGCTTTCACTTGAGCAGAACGGGTTTGGGCTTTTCGGGGCAGGACATCCCAAGCCTTCTCTTAGTGAGCAAAATAGTCTGTAACAGGTAACAAGTAGGACATCCTGTTGAGAGTTTCAGTCTAAAGGGCTGAGTCTTATGCCCTGAACATCTTCTCTGTATTAGCTGGGAGCAGCAATGTCTGCTTAGCTCCTTCTCTCTCTCCCTGCAGGTGGGGACTCAGTTTAAAAACAGCCTGAGCAGCCTTCTGGAAATTCTCACCTCCAAGGAACCTTCGTACATCCGTTGCATCAAGCCCAATGAGAAGAAGCAACCCAGTGAGTGGTGAATCGTTCTAAACACTGAGCTCAGGGAATAAGGCTGGGAGGAAGACCAAGATGGCAGTGGGTTAAAATCCTGAAAACCACCACAGGCTTGCTCCTTTTCCTCTGTGCATGAATTGTTTGGGGTTTTAAATAAGGGGAGTTCCTTTGGTGGTCCTGAGTGAGCATTGCTCAGAGCTTGGTCAGTTTCAGGAGCAACACAGCTGAGCCAGGCAGACATCAGAGGTGAAAGGAAGCAAGGTTGCTTCTCTCCAGCCAGTGAGCCATCTTCCAAAATGGTGAATGACTTGGGTATTTTCTAAGCTTGTTCCATGATCTATAACAAAGTCATATAAAGGCTTACAGAGGCCAGGGAGGAAAAGCACATGAGTGAAGCAGGCTGGGTGTAAGACAATAGGGAGTGGAGGGGACTGCGGCAAACTGGAGAGGGCACACCCTGTCTAAGGCGCAGCCCTCCTCCCTTCCAGCCAGTTGTTGCCATGTGAGTGTTTGGGCCCAGAATGGCCAGATCTCATGGTTTTTTCAAGAGAAACCAAAATCCAGATTTTCCCGTAAAATCCCCCTATTAAAAGACACACAAGTAGAGCCTAACAAAAGAAGTCTGTGGCCAGACCCAGCCCACAGACCATCCACGTGCAGCCTCTGGTCTGTCTTGGTTGAGACCGAGCCACGGGGTCCTTTGCTGTCGCTCTCCCTTCTGTGTTTCCGAAGGCCAGTTCGACGACTTCCTCATAAGGCATCAGGTCAAGTACCTGGGGCTGATGGAGCACCTGCGGGTGAGACGGGCGGGCTTCGCGTACCGGCGGAAATACGAGCATTTCCTGCAGAGGTAAAGTTTGTTTTGTCGATCTGAAGCCAGTAAGGTCAAGCACCTGCTCTGTGTGAGCCTCTGGATGTGGCGAGGAATAAAAGCCCATGCCCCAGGGGACTCAGTTTGGTTCTTAACTGCTGAGCGGTGACAGTGATGAACACTAACGTTTCAGGGACTAGGAAGCCAACGCCTTCCCTTTATTTCACTGAGCCCTTCATTACTACTTGCAATCCAGGAAGCGCAAGGCTGAGTGCACAGACAGACCTGCCACCAGGGGGCGCACGTGGGCTGCGCTCTGCTGGGTCTGTACTTAGCTGGGGAAGACGTTCCATGGTGACCCAGGTGCTGGTTTAGTGTGGTCAGTCTGGGAGCAGATCCCCTTGGCCTCATGGGCTGTCAGGAGAAGTGGGTGTAGTGGTGGGAAGATGGGCGTTGGAAGTGTACAGTCTTGGATTGGAATCCCCATTCTTTCTCTTCTAGCTGTAACCTATTTCCTTATCCATAACATGGGGGTTAACTTGTCTGCTGTCAAGTTCATAAGGATTTGGTGATATACTCCTCCCTCCCCCCGCTACCATCACCCAAACTGCCTGTGCTCCAATGCTTCATTGGTGGTGGGCTGCATGCTAATTTGTGTGAACTTGTTGCCAGAATAACAACACATTCTCACACTCTCAAGAGAAGCATAATAAAGTGGTCATTTTTGTAGGTCAAAATGGTTGCATATTGGCCATTTCATATTTCAACTTAATGTTAGGCTTCTTTTTTCTTTCTTTCTTTCTCCCTCTCTCTATTTTTGAGGAAGATTAGCCCTGAGCTAACATCTGCCACCAATCCTCCTCTTTTTGCTGAGGAAGACTGGCTCTGAGCTAACATCCGTGCCCATCTTCCTCTACTTTATATGTGGGACGCCTGCCACAGCATGGCTTGACAAGTGGTGCATAGATTTGCACCCGGGATACAAACCAGCGAACCCTGGGCCAGTGAAGCAGAACGTGCGAACTTAACCACTGCCCCACTGGGCTGGCCCCAATATTAGGCTTCTTTTGAAGTATAATTTTAAGATTATAAAAATCACGTGCACGAGCTTACATTTTTTATCTAATTCCTTGCATTTTGCAACTTACATCGAGATCCTGCACTCTGAAATGTCAGCGTTTTCTTGTGCTCTTATTTTCAGCCCCTAATTTAGTGATCTCAGATCTGTCTCTACCAAGGACTGTGCTTGTTTTTCTCCCATGAGCCTTGTGTCTTGATAATTGATATCTACTTATATGCATCTATTAAGTAATAATCTGTTTCCTCACTGTTGTTATTTTTTTATATATTTTTTTAAAGATGGTGGGTCCTACTAGTTGTGGCATGTGGGATGCCGCCTCAACATGGTCTGATGAGCAGTGCCATGTCCGTGCCCAGGATCCAAACCCGAAACCCTGGGCCGCCGAAGAGGAGCACGTGAACTTAACCACTCAGCCACGGGGCCAGCCCCCTCACTGTTGTTATTTTAATGATGTGTCTACCAGCCGATGTAAACCTCTGATGAGTGTGATTAGCATTAACCTTTTGAGTTGATACAATTTAACCTAAACACATGTGGAATGTTATTGACCTGTGTGGTCTTATTTTGAGAAATGGCATAATTGCCTTTGGGTTTCAGAAACAGTGGCAAGACTTAGAGACAATCCCCCCACCCCAAATACTGCCTTTGCAGGTCCCATAGAGGGGCCCAGGACCCTAGCTTGGGCACCTCTGCCTGGCTTTTGTCTACACTGTAAGTACATTTGGACAGGCGTTTTCATCCCCAATCCTCAAACCCTTAGAACCACGAAGCACCATCACAGGTGTCCCCTCTGGAAGACAGGGATGAAGGAACGTGGGATCTTCAAGAAGTCTAGTGTTGGAGGCTGGTTGTCACACCACTTTCCTCTTTGTCCCCTCTCCTTGTCTTTCATCTGTCACCCTTTTTGGGTCACACTGCCAATGCATAGCCATGGTTTTCTTTTTTAAACAGCTTTATTGAGATATAATTCATGTACCATACGATTCACCCACTTAAAGTGTCAGTGGTTTTTAGTATTCAGAGATATGTGCAAGCACAGTCCGCTTTAGAACATTTTCATCATCAAAAGGAAACCTTGTACCCTTCAGCTATAAACCCCCTATCTCCTTGCCACCCCCACCCCAGCCCTAAGCAACCACTAATCTGCTTTCTGTCTCTATAGATTTCCCTATACTGGACATTTTACACAAACGGAGTCATATAATAAGTGGACTTTTGTGACTGAATTGTTTCCCTTAGCATAGTGTTTTCAAGGTTCATCCATGTTGTAGCATCTGTCAGTACTTCATTCCTTTATATGGTTGAATGATATTCCATTGTATGGATAGACCACATTTCATTTATCCATTCATCAATTGATAGGCATTTGGGTTGTTTCTACTTTGGGCTGTTATGAGTGTTGCTGTTAGGAACACTCACGTACAAGTTTTTGTGTGGACATAGGTTTTCCTTTCTTTGGGTGTATATGTAGGAGTAGATTACTGGGTCATGTGATAACTCAATGTTTAACTGAGGAACGGCCAGCCTATTTGCCAGTATTTTTTTAAATGTACTTCCTTTGCACACCATTCTTGTTCATCAGCCACTTGTCATCCATTCACGCTTATCACATCCCTTTTTCTGAATCTGATTTCTGGTGAAGTTGGCTGCTCACTCCACCCCCCAAACACACACACACTCGATGTTCCCTCATCCTGCCTTTTTTAAAAAATTTTATCTGTCTTTTTTCTACTCTGCTGCTGTGTGAGCCTCATTTATTCTTTCCGTAAACACCAGCGAGCGCCTGCTCTGCACCAGCGCTGTCCTAGGTGCTGGAGTAACCGTGGCGGACAGGACAGACCCCATCCCTGCCCGCATGGAGTTTACTTTCTAGCGGCGGAGCCCAGTGACAACAAGGAGATATAGGACGTCAGGTGGGGATGCATTCTCTGAAGGAAAATGAACCCGGGTAAGGGGAAGTGTGGCGGTTCCTCCCCTAGGTGAGGTGGTGGGAGGGCTTCTGAGTGAGGCAGGGAGGCGTGAGGATATTTGGGGGACGATAATGCAGGCAGGAAAGCCTGGTGGTGGGAACTGGGCAGGCTGGAGGACCTGCTAGGAAGCCAGCATGGCTGCAGGTGGCCTTGGGGAGAGGCAGGAGGGGTCCATGGGACTGGGCTGGAGATGCCCGAATGTGCACACCCTGCCTGGCACTGCTTTGACTGCAACTCAGAGATGAAAAGGACAGAGGTTACTAGTCCTGCAGGCATTGCAGGCATCTCCCTGTTCCCTCTGCGTCTGTCTAGCCCAAGTTTGGGCGGCTTCCAGGGAATGTGCTAGGGATGAAAGTGGACTGGACAGGGCCTGAGGCTGCACTGTGTTCCCTGGGGGGTGGCATGAATCTCTGCTTTTGCGTATGTGTCTAGACAGAGGGAGGTAATCAGGGAAGAACACGTGACACTTAATGCCTGCTTTTGTCCGTTTGGGCTGCTGTGACAAAATACCACAGACTGGGTGGCTTGTAAACAACAGAAATTTCTTTCTCACAGTTCTGGAGGCTGGAAGTCTGAGGTCAGGGTGCCAGCGTGGTCAGGTCCTGGTGAGAGCCCTCTTCTGGGTTGCAAACTGCTATCTTCTTGTAGTCCCACATGTGGAAAGAGGGCGAGGGATCTCTCTGGAGTCCCTTTTCTAAGGACACTAATCCCCATCATGAGGCCTCCACCCTCATGACCTGATCACCTCCTGATGGCCTCACCTCCTAATAGCATCACCTTGGGGGTTAGGATTTCAACATATGAATTTGGGGGACACATTGAGTCTACTGCAGTGGCTTAATGGACTTGCTCCTAAAGTACAGTTCCAGGAAAATACACGTTTTTAATAGTTTAAAATTTGACTTTAAAATAATGCAAACCATATAATGATTATATTAAGGGGAAGAAGCATAACAGGAATGCCATAGCTAACATTTTTTGAGGTCTTGGACCGTGCCAAATCCTTCCCATGGATTACCTCATTTCAAGCCCATGATGAACCCACGACGAGGGGCCTGTTATTGCTCATGTTACATGAGGGAGGAGGCGAAGTGATTTGTCCAGCTCCTGAGCTGGGCTCAAAGCCATGCAGTGTGTTTCCAGGCCAACGGCCCCAGTTGTATTGCTTCTAGATTTGGTCCACAGGCACTTTTGAGTTCTGCATCCACTTATTTTGTTACATTATAGATATCATGGTTATCTTTCTGCTGACAGCATATTTGGAGTTGCATTTTATGCTGGAATCAGGTTCTTAATCAGTGTTGGGGCCCAAATTACTCTTGAGAGACCCCTGTCACTTGCAAAGCATGGTACCTTTTCCTCCTGTGCTGGATCACATTTGTTTATCCATTCATTTGTCCATCGATGGACATTTAGTTTGTTCCCACCTTGTGTCTATTATGAATAATGACGCTGTGAACATTCACATAGAAGCTTCTGCATGGAGCGTGTTGTCATGTCTCTTGCATACATACCTAGGCATGGAATTGAGTCATTTGATGATGTCATTGTTCTACAAAGACAGGCCAAATCTCCCACCTGTTGAGTTTCTCTTTTTATCTTTCTCGTCAAATGTGTATCGTTGAATTCTAGGAAGTGATGGGTCTACCACAGTACACTGAGTGGCTGGCGTACAACAGAGGAGAGAAGCCGTCTGCTGGGGTGTGAGTGTAACGTCCCACGGCTTTCTGGATGTTCCTCTCCTCTCTCTCTAGGTACAAGTCCTTGTGCCCAGACACCTGGCCGCACTGGCACGGGCCTCCAGCAGAGGGCGTCGAGCGGTTGATCAAGTACATCGGCTACAAACCCGAGGAGTACAAGTTAGGGAGGTAGGTGGCCAGGAAATCACCATCAAAAAGTCCCGGGCGTTGATTCGTATCCATCTAGAGCCTGGGAGTTAATTTTTCAGGAATTTACATAGATTTACCAGCCGATATGTCCATCCATTCGATTTAAATGATCTCTGTACAGAAAAAATTCTCCTGTGTCCCCTCTTCTCTCGAGAATTCCCTTACGCTTAGAATGCTCCACACTTCTGACGCCAGCTGGGTGTCCTACCATGTAACTCAATTCTGACACTGCCCACCTGGAGATAGCACCAGATCCCACAGGTTAAGGGCTCAGTCCCATAAGACAAGCCCCACCCTCACTGGCCACTTCAGATGCCAGTCACAATCCAGGTTGTCAACTGTGCTTCTGATCGAGCAGCTACAGATCAGAGGTTCCTACGACCTCTAAATGGTTAGAAGGGCAATATTGCTGCCTGTCGGAGGAGATTAAGTTATAAAGGAGCCCTGTGCTCTACACCTGGCTGGGGGCCGGGATGAGCTGCTTTGCTTGCAAAATGAGGAGTGGACCAGTGACGCCCCCAGCCTCGGTGTGCTTGGTCTTTTGTTGTTCAGATGTACGCAGGACCTCCCAGAGGGGATATTTGGACATAGGTGATGTGGAAGCTCCTCTACAACTCTGAGTATCAATCCTGCACAGTCGTCATTGTCCGTGAGCGAGAGAACTTCCGTACACGTTGAAAGCTTTGAGGCAGAACTCAGTGGGGTGAACCGGGAAGATTTTAGCCTATTCCATTAGTCATTTTGGTCAGCGGTAATTCGGTTGCAAGGATCAGTGCCCAAGTATGTAGAGGTCCCATCCCCAGGCCATGGAGAGTCCAGCTGCAGGGCTGTCTGCCTTTGAATCTATCAATGGGCTCTCTATGCCCGCTCCTAACTCCCCCTCGTACGCAGCCCTCTGTGGCCACCCTGGCCCCTCTCCATCCTTACGCTTCTGCTCTGGGCCCTGCTCCAAGAATCAGGTACTTTTCCAAGCCAGATCCCTGAGGGGAGTCAGGCTCAGCACATCCTGAGGGAGGCGACCAGGGAGCTCAGAGGTGGCATCTGTGCCTGACTCGGGAACCTGGGATGCGGAAGTGGAATCGCGTGGCAGGACGCACTGCTGCCCCCAGTGGCTGCCCTTGGAAGTCTCCCTCAAAGGGTGAGGGGGTGAATGGAGCAGACAATATGAGATGGATATTTATAATTTCTCTCTTCCGGTTGCTGGGATCTTCTTTTAAACCTAGACTCGTGTTCTTTGTCATCATGTTTTAAAGCCTAGGGAAGTGACTCTGGCTTAGGATGGAGTATTAGTCTCCCAGCTCTGCCTAACACATTACCACAGACTGGCTGCGCGCAAAACAACAGAAATCGATGCTGTCACAGGTCTGGGGGCTAGAAGTCCAAAATCAAGGTGTCGGCAGGGCCACGTTCCCTCAGAAGGCTCTGTGGGAGGATCCTTCCTGCCTCGTCCGGCTTCCAGTGGCCCCTGGCGTCCTTTGGCTTGTGGCCGCGTCACTCCAGCCTCTGCCTCTGTCTTCACACGGCCTTCCCTGTCCCTCTCTCTCTGTGTCCTTTTCTGTCTCTTATAAGGACACGCTCATTGGATTTAGGGTCCACCCTAATTCCATATGATTCCATCTCAATCCCTACCTTGAGTACGTGTGCAAAGACCCTATTTCCAAGTAAAATCACATTCTGAGAATCTGAGTGGACATGAATTTGGGGGACATTATTCAACTCAATAGAGATGGTAACTGACCAATTAATAATGAAAACATTTTTTTTCCCCTTCTAGAACCAAAATATTCATTCGTTTCCCCAGAACTCTGTTTGCTACTGAAGATGCCTTTGAATTTAGTAAACATCAATTAGGTATGATTTTTCTTTTTCTTCCCTGATTTCAAAAGAATTTAAAATGAACAAGCTTAGCTTGGGGTACATCTTAAACATGGGTGTTTGATGTAATGTTAGAAGCATTCCCTTTGGAAACCAGGAACAAGGTATGGGATTATGATAAGACACACGTGAACTGATGCCTTGATGAGCGCCTGGAGGGCAGTCATGGACGCACACGGAACCTGGAATGCTGTGGGGCTGCCTCAGTTCCAGTCTGGAGCCAACCTTCATGTGCCACACGAGGACCTAAATCCTCGAGAGTCCATCCCGCTTAAATGAAAAGTTAAAATTTTTCATTTGTTTAAGTATCTGATGTTGGAAGGTACAGCTTCAAAGCCTATACAGCCAGGGGGTTTGTTGTGAATGGGAAATGAGGAAAGTTAGATAGGGGGGGCGAGGGGGATGCGAAAAATAAAAAATGGAAACTCCTGGGGGAGAGGGGCTGGCCCTTGAAATCTAAACTGGTCTGTGGAGAAGGACTCTGCTTGAGTAATCTGAGCGCTCGCTGTGCACCAGGTGCATGATAAATCCTTCGCACTCGTGATCTCCTTGTATTCTCAGAACAAACCTATGGAGTGATGTTATCATCTCCACTTCACATTCAGGGAATCTGGGTCCCAGAGATGTTGGTAACTTGCTGGAGGCCACACAGCTAGTAAACAGCAGAGCTGGGGTGTGAACATGGGTCTCTCTGGCCTCAGGGCCTGGGCTCCTAACCACTGTGCTGGGTGGTCTTTTTCTGATCCCTGCAGCATTGGGCACCAATCACCGGGGATCTGGTTAATGGGCATACTGGCTGCAGGGGCCTGAGCCAGCATTTCTAACCAGCTCCCAAGGGATGTGACACTGCTGGTCTACGGGACCCTCGAGGAGCTTGGCCTGTGGTGGGACCTTGGCTGGGTGCGGGGAGGATGCCTCGCAGGGAACTAGGGGCCAGTGGACCCTCTAGATGGGGGCTCTTACCACGGGCTCTGTTCCTTACCCTGGGGGAAGAAAGAAAGGAAGCTCCTGGACAGCTTCTGGCAGCCTGGCTAATGTAACCCGCCCTCTCATTTCTGCCTGCTGCTTGGCTACCTCTGTCGCTCTCCGCTGCATGCCCTCAGGGCCACTTCTGACATCCCCTCTCAAGTTCATGACCACAAATGAAAGCCGTTTCACCAAACTTTTGTTTTATTTTAAGTTGCGAGAATCCAAGCCACATACAAAGGCTGCCTAGAAAGGAGAGCATACCTGAAAAAAAGACAAGCAGGTAAGGATTAAATAGAAACTTGCCAGTGTGCAAATGGGCCAGAACTCTGCAGTTTCTCTCTTAGCCACGTGGCTCCTGGAGACGCAGGCTCCTGTGAGCATTCTCTCCCCTTGAAACCCTGTCCTTGAAACCTTGGTGGCTGTGGGGTCCAGTTCTGAGGCCTCTTCTCATTTTTACTCTGTTGACTGGAGATTATAACATAGGGGCCTATATTTGTTCCACGGACCTGTTTTATTTGATCCAACATATGCATGTTTAAAGAATAATTTCTTTAAAAGGCTACTAATGTCATGAGCCCCTCCCCTCTGTCTCTCCCCCAGTCACCTCTCAAATCCCCCCACAGACACACAACACACACACACACACACACACAAAATTCTTAGAAGTGACCACTCTCCTGAATTTTGCATTTATCATTCCCTTGTTTGTCTTTCCAGTTTTACCATTGTTGACCATAAAAATAAAATAGCCAGGTATTTTACCAGCAAGATAGGTTTCTTCAGGAATAGCGGAGGAATTGCAATTCAGGACAAGCCAGCTATAGCAAAAGCCAAAGGCAAGTCCAGCAAGCAAAGGAGAGGAACATTATTTTCTAGAAAAAAAGGAGGAAGTTGGGAGGGGTTTAGAACAAAAGTCCTTTGGTGGGAAGCAAGAGTGACCTTTCTCACTGGTGAGTTGCTAAGGTAGTCAATTTCAGGAGCTGCAATGTACATCTTTTCCTGTTGGCGCCTATAACTCATGATTCTTTCCTGTTGGAGATTCTTCTGTTGGGGTCTGTAATTGACAGTCCTTTCTGTAATTGACATCCACAGTATTGCATGAGAGCTCCCCCTTCTAGTCTCCTAACTCCATTTTAGTGCGGTTTCCCTTTATTAATTTTCTTACCATTTATGGATGCATTACTAAATAATATATTTATACACTGTCCTGCTTTGAACTTAATAAAATTATACTCCTTGTATTTCTTGTGACATTTTTGCACTCTGAGGTGTAGATTTAGTTATTCATTTTCATAGCTGCATAGTATTCCACTATATCAGAGGTCAGCAAACTTTTCTTAAAGGACCAGATAGTAAATATTTTAGACTTGTGGGTCTTATGGTTTCTGTTGCAGCTACTCAACTCTGCTCTGGTAGCATGAAAGTATTTAGGCATGTATGTATTTAGGCAAATACATAAATGAATGGGCACAGCCATGTTGCAATAAAACTTAATTTACAAAAACATGCGGCCAGCCCAAGGGTTGCAGTTTGCTAACCCCTGAGCTATATGAGTATAGCACAATTTAGCCGCTCTGTTGATGGACATTTGGGTTGTTTCCAGTTTGTTTGTTTTTATAACAGAAACAATGCTGCTATGAGGGATAAAAGAAAAGCACTGAAAAAATCTGAATAACTGAAAAAAGTCTGAAAAGCATTTAAAAATTGGGGAACACGCCAGAAATGTAATTTTTGTGGGTCCCAATTTGTTTATGTATCCCAATTTTTAAATGTAGACAAGTAAAAGTAAACACTGGGTGAGACACAGCAAATGCAGTGGAAAGACTAATCTGTACCATCACAAGGGGCAATCTTGTCCCTCAAAAGACCTCGGGAAACTCACCCCCTGGCATAATTTCGGGGCTTCGCTCGAAGCTTCCCAGGCACCCTCTATGTTCCTCTGTCGCCCTGGTTCAGCTGCCCGTCTGAGCACCCCCAGGGAAGAACTGACGACATTCATCCCACTTTCCATCTCTGGGGTAGCGGAGTGCATGGTGAGCATCCAGATGTTTGTGGAGTGGAAGGGTAATTCTGAAAAAGCCTTTGGTATTTAAATATGATTGTGCTCACCTTCTAATGCCGGCAGTGACCTCTTTCAGCCATCAAACTTGAAGCCCACTGGCGGGGAGCCCTGGCTCGAAAGGAGGCCAAAAGGAGGAAGTGGGCTGTGCAGATTATAAGGAAGTAAGTTCTCGGGTACGGGAGGGAGGAGGGGTCCCTAAGCACTGCCCACTGCAGAGGGTGGTCACAGACTTGGTTGAGTTTCTGCGTCTTGTGCAGAAAGGTAATCTTCCCTTCAGGACATCAACCCTTATGCGGTCAGTTCCATCTCTTTCCTCTGAGCTCCCTAATTTGATGGTGATCACAACTCAATACATTTGTAGGCTCTCTTAGCCTAGTTCAAAAGTCAAAGTCAAATGCCTCCTGATGCCAGGTGGGTAAAGTGAGTGAGTCTCATGAGCTGGGATGAGACAATAAGGTACAGTGGGGACTGCAGCAAACTGGAAAGATCAGTCCACCTCAGAGGGACAGTCACTACTCCACTTCAGCCCGTGTTGCCAGATCTACTGATTTTGCAAGGGAAGCTGGAAATCTGGCTTTCGTGTACTATCTCTCAATTTTTTTGTAGTTGTTGTTGGCAACTAATTAAAGATACTAAAAACAAAACAAAAAATAGCGTGGGTGAAATAGAGCATATCCTAGGGGCAGATCTGGCCTGTGGGCTACAGTACTGGCTTCTGGCCTACAGGACCATCTAAACAATCGCTACCATTTTGGCCTCCTGAGTCGAACAGGAGAACACAAGTCCCAGTGAAAAAATGGGCCAGGAAACTAACAAAACACTTGCTGTTTAGGTTCATAGCAGGATTCATCAATCGCAACAAGCCTCTTTGTCCTGAAAATGAGGAGTTTATCGTGTTCGTGCGGAAGAATTACATCTTGAATCTTCGGTATCACGTCCCAAAGAGTGTCTTGGACAAGAGCTGGCTGATGCCTCCCGGCATCTTGGAAAATGTAAGGACTAAACTGGGACTCGTGTTGCAAGGGACTCGGGCACTGACGGGCTTTTCTATTTCTTCCTGCTGCCTCCCTGGCCTGAAAGAGCTACCTTAGCAAGGCATCTCCTTGCAAGAGTGTTGCACGAGAAATTCCACTCCTCTGAATTTGTCATATCCTCACGAGAATTATAAAGCCAATGGACGCCTGTTTACATAAAGCACTTCTGAATGGTTCCCATGCTGGATGTAGCTTCCAGTGGCCTGAGTGACTGTCACCTAGAACATGTTTCTCAAAGACGGTCTGAGGACCCTGTGTCTGGAGCGCAGAGTCAGGCCTAGTGTAAGATTCCTGGGCCCCGACCGGGCATCTCTAGGAATCTCGGCTTGGCCAGGTCCTCAGGTGACTCCAACACATTCGAGTTTAAGAACCATTTACTTTCGCAGTAGTGAAAAGTTAGCACAAGACTGGAAGGTTAGCTGCTTTCTTTCGCTATACAATATTAATGCTGTACTTCAAAGCAAGTTGAATTCCGCTGTGCTTCCAAAGCTTTCTGTTTTGATGGCCACAGCCCAGGACAGGGTGAGAGCGAGGCAGGTGGAAAAGAAGTGCGTTCTCCACACAGGCGTCGGATCTGCTCAGGAAAATGTGCATGAGGAACCTGGTCCGCAAGTACTGCCGCGGAATCACAGCCGAGAGGAAAGCGCTGGTAGGGACGTGCTGCGCGTGTGGGTGGCGGGAGGGTGGAGGGTGGGTGCCGCCCTACAGCTGGCCGACTAGCATCAGCAGTCCTCACTCACCATTGCCCCTGTAAGCCAAGGGTCCCACTAGGCCCATGCCTCGTACATGTCTTGAGGATTAAACACAGGTAGACCACTGGGCACAGAGCCCTCGTGAAATGCCAGCTGTTACAATCAGCATCGTCCCTGTGGTTACCATGGGAACACAATCCAGGTGGCCCCTACCCTGCAGATGCAGGACCCCTTCTGTGCTGGAGGTCTGGTTTGGTTTATGCTCATCGGCACGACAGCAAACTTCTTCCGTAAAGGGCTAGATAATAAATATTTCAGGCTTTGCGGTCCATACCATCTTTGTTGCAATTACTCAGCTCTGCCGTTGTAGCGAGAAAACAGCCAGAGACAACGTGTGAGTGAGTGGCAGGCTGTGTTCCGGTAAAACCACGGAACTAGGCAGCAGGCAGGAGTTGGCCCACAGGCTGTAGTCTGGTCTCTGAGCTAGCAGAAAGAAACTGCGCTCCGAAATTCTGAAAATTCTACTTCCGGAAGGCCCGTGCAAGTAGAGATAAGCATTTAAGTGTCCACCTCAGTGTCTGACAGTATAATTTTTAGGATATTTTTGGCCAAAGCCAGGAAATATGTTCTGACGTCCACGTGGAAGTATGACAGGCCTCCTAGAGCTTATCCAGGAAAGTAAGGGATACCGTGGACCTAAAGCTCCTCTGTCCCAAAGAGCCCCACGGCTCCCGTTTTCGTATCTACATTATATATTACCAGATGCGGCAAAAGGTGGTTACAAGTGAAATATTCAGGGGAAAGAAAGAAGGCTATGCAGAAAGCTTAAATCAACCCTTTGCCAACAGTCGGATAGGTAAGTACATTTTTCCATCTATGTACTTACTTTTCCTATTTTTAAAAAAATCAAAGGAATTTGCTCGACTCCGTAGCATTTCCTGACAGCTATTCCCCGGTTGAGATCTTGGTCACAGAGGGACAGAGTGCCAGTGGCTTTTGCACAGGTGGAATTTGGTGATGATTCACCGAATTCTGGTTCCTTCCCTAGACGAAGGAGACATTAATCCCAAGGTGCTTCAACTCATCAGCCATGAGAAAATCCAGGTAAGCGAATGTGTCCTTGCCTCAGGCAGGATTCCCTCCGGAAGTGAGAACAGGGTCTGTTTTGTACGTGCGGCACGTCTGGAAGCGCTGTTTAAATGCAGGGGTGCATGTGGGCGGTTCGGGCTCTCCACTGTGATGCTCTGGGTATTAAGTAAGATTATGGGGACCTCGTGACTATTAGAACCTGTTGCTGTGCTTACGGTCCTTGTCTGTCACGCTAGGAGCTGTGTTTGGTTTCCTATGAAACGCAGCGTGACTTAATCACGCAACATCCTGTTAGCGAGAAGCCGTATAGCAGGGTGCTGACGTGGGCTACGTAACTTAGTAGCTGCCAGATCCCCAGCACGTTACTTAAGCTCTCGGTGCCTCTATCCTTCTGAGAACAGGGATAACGGGGTTACAGAGAGGACGAAGGAGTTGAAGGTGTGAATTGTGGAGGCTGCCACCTGGCCTGTAGCAGCTGGTGAGCGTGTGTCTGGGGCGGCTCTGTCCCTTCTGGTTCCCTGGAGAACAGAAGTGTGTGGGACTGGATTGGGTTACCCTCTGGCTGTGAGGGCTTTAATGCCCTTTGAGCATTTTCATCTCGGTTGGCTTCTCAGAGCAGCCCCATGAGGCACGTGGCCAGAGCCTAAAATTCCCCAGAAAGGCAATGTTACAGGCAGAGCTGGGAATCAAAATCTATCCTGCACAGCCAGTGGGGAGGAAAAAACTTGTTTATTCACCTCTGAGTGCCCAAAGGGACTTCACCAGGGTCTGAGTGACAACCGGGCGCTCTGCCCCCTCCTCCATGAAGTAAGCTTCCCCTCGTAGTGACGGTACCCTCCTTGCAGTATGGTATCCCGGTCATTAAATATGACAGGAAAGGCTTCAAGGCGCGGCAGCGGCAGCTCATTCTTACTCAGAGAGCAGCTTACGTGGTGGAACTTGCCAAAATCAAGCAGAAAATAGAGTACTCAGCACTCAAAGGTAAGAAGCAGGTAATCTTGAGACGATCCACTGGGCTGACTTAGCTCCTGGGCACACTAGGACTGAAGCAGCCCTCCGTTGGGAGACAGAAGCCCTGTGCTGCCCGGGCCCCCCTGTGCCCCTTATTCTGGCATAAATACCAGGGTAGCCCCTTCACTCAAGTGTCCAGGTTGGACAACAGTCTCCTTCTTCAATGACGTGTTTTTTATTGAGAGCACAGACCTTCGCAGCCCCACAGCATCCTGATTTCTGGACTATGCCCTTCATCCTACTGGGCCCAGGGAGGAGGGAAAAAGGGTGGGCAAGGGAGCCCCGGGGCACGCCTCGTGTCTTCCTGAATTAATGTCAGGTTGTCCAGCTCCTGGCCCCTAACTTTGGGTCTGTCTTCAGGTGTCTCTACTAGCAGTCTGAGCGACGGAATCTTAGTCATGCATGTTTCGCCAGAGGACAACAAGCAAAAGGTAAATGACGGCCACGGTCTGTAACGGAGGGAAAGGATATACTGCCCAAATGTTCGGTTGCCCACTGTGAAACCTCAGTATTGGAGTTTTTCCTTTTAAATGCCGCTCCTGAAACCGCACGTCCTCTCCCCCTCAGGGGGATGCCATCTTGCAGTGTGAACACGTGTTTGAAGCGGTTACTAAACTCGTCGTGCTGGCGAAGGAGGAGAACCTGGTAAACGTTGTTCAAGGAAGGTAGGTGGTTTCATCTTTAGCTCAGGAAGGAAATTCAGTTTTAAATTTTTATTAATGGATCAAGGAAGACGCAAATGCTAATCATTTCACTCCTGTCTGCCTCCTCCCCCCACACAAGCAGTGCCTACCAGCAGGGATGGGGAAGAAGCTTCTAGTGGGGCAGCCCTGCTCTCCCTGATAAAGAGCTTCCCTGCCTCCTCGCCCCTATGACTTGGGGTTTGGGGGAAATGAAGTCAGTGATCACTCCTTGACCTCAGGGAATAGCGGTCTTGGCTTTCAGTTTTTAAAGGTGTGCATGTTCCTGAGGGAAGCTGTCACCAAGTGAGAGGTGGCCCTCTGGGCCAGAGCAGGTGACAGCCACACCTTGGCTGCTGAAGCCTGCTGTCTGGGACAGTTGGTTGAGCACAGTGGGCCTCCACTTTGCAGGCTGCTTACCGACTGATTAGGGGAAGTGCTAAAATTTCTTGAGGACGCAAAAGAAACATACCAGGCACGTGGAGTCCTCTTACTCAGTTCTCTCAACAGCTCTGAGGCGGGTGCCACCTTTTCCATTTCATGGGCACAACGTGGCTAACCAACACCCTCAAAGTCACGTGGCTGGTTGGGGATGGTGCGCGGTTCCTGAGGGCCGTGCTGGAGTCTCATTTTCAGACTGAATGAGGCACAGCACGGTGCTCCAGGACCCCTGTGAAAGCAGGATGCTCCCAGGCAGTACTGTTTTGTTGCCCTTCGACTTCTACTGCTGCTACTGGGTCTCGAGTTTTTATAACCTGATGAGCACAATCATATGTGGAAGACAGAGAAAGAGCTGGGTACGGTCATACGCCACGTAACGACATTTCAGTCAACGATGGACCCCTTATAAGACCGTGGTCCCATAAGATTAGTGCCACACAGCCTAGGTGTGCGTTAGGCTGTACCATCCAGTTTTGTGCAAGTCCACTCTGTGATGTCACACAACGATGAAAGCAACTACACAGGCCTTTCTTAGAACATATCCCTGTTGTTAAGTGATGCACGACTGGACTTTGGTAAGTGTTGTTTCTGTCGTGCTGTACCTGAGAGAATACCTAGCTCCCTATAAGAGTTTCCACAGCAAGATGTACAGGTAGTTCTTCAGACATCCAATCGGCCCCTTGAAGAACTAATGTACCAAATTGATGAGAGAATAATTATGAAAACACATGGTAAGTTTCCCAGGTGTGGAAATGGTTTTTCTCCTTTTGATTACTCAAATGTACCATAAAACTCTGTATTAACATAGGAATTCAGGGGCCAGCCCAGTGGCATAGCGGTTAAGTTCACATGCTCCATTTCAGTGGCCTGGGGTTCGCTGGGTTGGAGACCACACACCACACATCAAGCCATGGTGTGGTGGAGTCCTACATACAAAACAGAGGAAGACTGGCACAAATGTTAGCTCAGGGACAATCTTCCTCAAGCAAAAAGAGGAAAATTGGCAAGGGATGTTAGGTCAGGGCCAAACTTCCTCACCAAAAAAAAAAAAAAAAGGAATTCAATCTTGAAACTAGTAAAGCTTCATAAGTGAATTTCTTTTGCAGATGAAAGGCTGAGGGAGGAAAATAATTTGTCAGTAATTCACCATTTTGTCTACTTTTAAGTTTACAGTTTTATATCAGTCCTGGAAAAGAAGGTACAATAGTTTTCTACACTGGACCAGAAGAACAAATCTATAAAGATAAAAATGGACAGTTAACAGTGGTGAGTGGCTGGGTTTGGGGACCGAGGTAAGCAGTTGTAGATGAGAATATAGATTAAAATTCTACCCATTTTAGTCTTTCTCTTGATTGACTGGAATCATGGAATCAGAAGCTAGTTCCTGTCCCCCTCTATTCCTGATTCTCCATCTAAAATACGGGGAAGAATGGATAGTGGAGGCTTAGATTCGAACACTGAGGAAAGGGAAAAAGCCAAGTTTCCCTACCGTACCTCATCGTCAGTGTCATTAAATACTTCTCAGCTTTAAATGTTGAAGCCCAACTTCTCACTGGACGGCGAAGGCCTTATGCCTTCTGTCACTGGTTCTCAAGCTCGTCTCCAGCTTGGAATCTCCAGGCGAGCTTCAAAAAATACGTCTGGTGTCTCACTCCCAGACTGTGGTGTGATCGGCTGGGCTGGGGCCGCGGGCTCGGAAAGTAAGCCATCGCAGGTCTAAGGAGCAGAGAGGCTTGGGGACCACTGTGTCTTACGAAGAAGTGGAGCCTGAGTGCTCGGGATCTGCCCTCCTGGCAAGCAGGACACAGAGCTTGTCTAGATCTGCTTTTGCTGGGAAATGACATACTAAAAGCCAAGGGCTGAATCTTTAACACGTATTTTGTATATATATCGAGTATTCATTACTTGATAACAAACTAATTAGAAAATAGTCTATCAACATGGAATGTCTCGGACACATTTAAATTTATATACATTTAACTACGAAATTGCTTTGTGGATGTAGGTAGTACACACATAACATAATTGTCCCTACACACAATTACCTCCTTCAGAGACAAGTTAAAATATTTAAGCATTACTCTGATTGTAAACTATAAGGTGATCTTTCAGTTTACGTGTTGTCTTAAAAACTTTACACCCCTATGTGTCTCTCTCTTTTGGAATCACACAGGCTATCTTCCTGCTTGACCAGCTCGGGCTGAAGATGCTAACAGGCCTCAGTGGGCCCGTTTCTCGATGCGGCTCGTCTTGTGGGGGGTGGGGCAGGAGATGGTGTGGGAGGTGGGTTGGCTTCTCGCAGCTCGTTCACACCCACCTCCATGATGCTGACAGTGGGGTGACAGCTGCATCCTCCCAAGTGAGGCTACGTGAGACACGCCTCTAAGCCTAAGTGTGGACTCTCCCCCAGGTGTCGGTCCGCATGCAGTCCTGATAGAGGATGACACTGACCTCTCCCATCACCGTTTCTTCTCCGGCTGAGGAAAGCACCCAGGAAGCGGGAATGTGATCCAGTTAGCTACTCCTTCAAGGAAAGGTTACAGCAGCTCTAGGAGCAGGGTCACACGGGAAGAAGCGGAGCGGCATCTATGCCAAAGCCCGACCCCAGCTTCCCAGGTGCCCTGTGGCACTCAATCAAAATGTCCTCCTCAGGGAGCCAACCTCAAGTCACTTAAGGGGGTGGTTTTAAACTTTCCCAAAGGACCTCCACTCGATGGGTACTTGAACATGTCATCACAGGGTGGGCAACAGGCTCTCCACCCTTATCAAGCTGGCCCCAAGTCACAGTGAAGTATTATGTATGGTCTGAGAGTGAGTACACGAAATTTCATAAAGCTGCAAAATTTGAATTTTGTGCTAAATAAATGGAACTTAGAAACACATCCAATTCCTTAGCATTTCTGAAAGGCTCTTCAGTCCAGATGGTGAGGTCTATCTGCCCCACCTCCCCAATAGTAAATCGGTGGCAACACCAGCCGACCCATTCTGCTTGTTCACAAGCCCAGGCGGCATTCCCGCCCAAGACTTCCTTTCGGGGTTCAAGTTCAAACACTACCGAGAAATGACTCCTCTCTTCCGCCCTGAGCAACTTTAAGGTGATAAAGTGGAATGTAGGATCTCTGCCTTGTTCTCTTTGCTGTAAACTGCAACTCAGTTCAGGGGCTCGATTGTGCTGGGCGTTTCTGAAAAGATCCAGAAAACAGATTTAAATGGGATCATGTAACTTTTATTTTACATATGTCCACAAACGCTTGTACAACATACAGTGACTACTTCTAAAATTTATAGCATTTTTTTCATAGCACAGAGAGACGGAAAGGTTAGTGATGCACAGATGTGTTACAGTGACTCGGGTGGAGCCCTAAAGATAGCACACACTCTGGAGGAAGGGCTGAGTGTCGGTCACACTTAGGTCTGAACAGCTGCTGTAAGGTACAGGTGAACACTCCTAATCGAGGGCGGGGGTGCCTGCACAGCGATTAACCCCTAATCCACTGCACGAGGCCCCGGAGAGGCTGTGCCAGGAACTGCCTCGGGCACCAGCCCCCAGTCACCACAATCAGAGGGCGAATTTGAAACCTACTGAACTCAATTACAAGGGACCAAACGCTGATCCACTTTTTAAAAAACTGTAAGCTATTCCGATGTAATAAACTGCACTCTTTACCAAATCTTACACCAGTGTTTTACTTGCATGGTTCTTAAATAGAAATATTGACTTTTGTTTGCCCTTAGTGCTAGCATAAGAAAAATCACTTCTTTGTAGAATATACTGGATAACAGAGCTTGGCCCAGCCAGCACTCTGTCAGCTCGCGGCTAGATGCCGCTAACAGTCGCCGCATTCACTGGGGAATGTCTTATGAAGCTGCTCACAGCCCAGGGGAGCAAAGATTCAAAACTACAAATGCAAAGTCGGAGGAAAAGTGAAAGTAGAGAAACTGCCAGAAACATTAGGTCATAAGGTGTAGGAGCCCAAACTAATCGTTCTACAAACTTACTTTTCACATAAACATTTAAAAAACAGTATTTATACGATGGCTTTTCCATTCCTACAGAAAACATCAGAACTGACATTCACTTTAACTTTCTAAAAAAGTTCAACCCAAACGGCAGGGTTGGTGTTTACAACTTAAACAGTATAAAATATTTACGAGACGTTATTTTTAAGCCCCTCCTTTCTCAGCACTTAACGAAAGCCAAATGGCCTAACATGAAAGTTTCCCGCACACGGTTTAAAAAGCAGCTACCCGATACATGATTTTTAGGTTCCGCCATGATTGTTTTAACGTTTTATTGTGGGCTTTGCTGCTGGATACAAAAGAAAGGCAGACACTGTCACAAGTAGGGCAGTACGTACAAAGTCCAAGCTGTAAAAACCATTTCAAAATATAAACTCGTTTTTTGGAATACACTGTGTCAAAGGCTGCCCACGTGAATACCTTTGGTATAAGACGGTAACGTTTCCCTTGAAAAGCAGACAAAACCCATCCATTCCCTTCTACACATCCGCATCTCCTTGAACTACTCTACCTAGTCTAGTCTCAACCACCATTATCAGTCACAACTCACTTCTGTCCCTTCTGGGCGCAGAGGAGACAGGGAGGTAGGTAACCGAGACATCCATCGGACACGAGTGCCAGGCAGACAGCCGGGCTCCGGCGTGGGCCGCCTGTGCCCACAAGCACACATCCCCATCAACAGTCACACACATCCCCTTAACACACATGAACGTGGACACTAACTGGGCCCAAGAGGACCTGCTCGCTAGTGGCCACTCCCTACCGTGTAAAACTCAGAGGCAAAGACTTGAAGGGGAGCTCCCAGGTGACGGCTGTCCTGAGACGGGCGAGCTGCCCTGGGGCTGCTGGTGTGAGTGGACACCAGGCTCAGAGGACAGAGAACCTGGGGCCACATTTAATTTCTGAGCAAAAGGTAGGGCATCCGCTTGTGGCAGCAAGCCTAGCTTAACAGGGAAGGAGGCCGAGGGGGAAGGAATGGATCACGGAGCAGCAGTTTGCCTGTTACCAGGCCACATGGCCTTCCTGGAATGGAGTGGCTCAGCAAGGAGAGCAAGTAGAAGGGGCCCAGAACAGAGCAGAGCACTGGCTGCCGGAGACAGCTCTTCCCTGAGCCCGAGATGCGGGGTCCCAACAAACACCAGACCACAGGCCCACGCAAGGTGGCAACAGGCCTGCCCCTTAAACAGAGCTGGGCATCTGGAGCTACACTAGGAACAACTTAGAGGCACGAAGCTCATCAGGCCCCATCTCCACTGCTACAAGTTGCAATTTACTAAGAAGCTATGGGTGCGAAATCCTGTTGCAGAAGGCACTGCGAGCAAAGCTGTGGGGCTTGGGCCCCATCTGGCGCACAGGAACTGGGAGCCAGTGTGCTGGGCGGGAGGGCTAGGAAACAGGGAGCTCACACACACCTCTGGTGGCCACCAACTGCGGGATCCCTCTTGGAGCTGTCAAACTAAACCCCGAAGGGAACGCCACCCAAGAAGCTCAAATAGGTAGTCAACACCCACAAAAATAAATACTGAAATAAAAGTTCTCACGTACACTTCACACCCATTCATACTTTTCCTCTGAGAACCAGGAGAGCCTGGCTCCAAGGCTTCTCGGCTTCTCACGGAAAGTAGCGACCTTGGACGTGTTCAACAACAGGGGTGCATTCACCTGGGCCAAGACAATCCATCACCTTGTTGAGAAATATCAAAACAATCATCTGGTTTGTTAGAAAAGTATCTCCAGACTCCGGGGGAAGTGGAGGGGCCCGGGAGCCGGGACAGGATCTGAGTGTGGAGCGGGGAGGGGGAGGGAGGGCCAGCGGCTTGGCTGCGCTTGCCTGCTCACTGGTGGAGGTGGGCCCGGTCATCTGGGCGCTTGATGTGGATCCGCCGCACGCGCTCGATCCGCTCCCGTTCCCGCTCCTCATCCTCGTCCAGGTGGTGGGAGCGACCAGCCGCCCCGCCTGTGGCCTCCAGGAGGGCATTGTCAGGTCCCCGGCCATCCTGGGCCTCATACAGCAAAATATTCAGGGTCTCCTCATAAATCCGGGCTTCAGGGAATTCCACCTGTGTCCCCACAAAATACAGGGCAGATAAGTTAGCATCACACACACACTCCACAACCTCTGCCGCCACCCAGTACTTCCGAGCGGGGCCACCCGCTAAATCAGGCCCAATAGAACTGTCATTATTATTTTTACAGTAGTTGTTATTTTCAATAAGCAACACTTACACAAGGTGCTAAATTCGCAAGAGACAAAAGTGATACAGTGAAGTAAGTGTCCCTTCCTGAAGGCAATGCTTCCCATCATCTTGCCCTCTCTGAGAGATAAATATATATATTTACACATATAAATATATATATTCACACACTATATACATATATACTCACATTCTGTAAAACAGAAAAGGTGGCCCAATACACAAACTCTTCTGCACTTTCCTCTTTTCCAAAACTTTAACTTGGAGATCATTCCCCATCAAGGAATTATAAAGAATGTGACAATGCAATTAACCAGTTCACACTGATGGACGTTTACGTCATTTCCGGCATGCTGCTACTAACATAACAAACAAAGCTTGCACACGAGCCATCCACACCGCAAAGCAGCCTTTAAAGCAGTGTACTTTTGAACAGGGACCAGCTGAGGACCTTCCTGAAATGGACAGGATCGCTCCTTCTTGGTAAAGCACAGTGTCTGCTTGCTGCCTTGGGGCTAAGGCCCCATGAACGACAGGAGGGCTGCACAAGGGGTCCCGGGCACCTGACTCCCAGAGTAGAGACTCTGCTTTCAAGGGCAGGGTTCTGGGGTTCGGGAGAAATGGGAGTGAGCACACCCTGCCCCGACTTCCCCACGGAGGCTACAAAACCAGGAGAGAGTGTGCACAGCAGCTGACTGAGGACTCTGAAACGTAAACAGTCGCAGGCGGACTGGGAGGAAAGACCAGACCTTGCAGAAATACCAAACCAGCAGTGAGTTTACTGTTCTCCACTCCCTCCCCCCGCCCCCGCCAGTATCCCCCAGCCTGAGCTCCACCCAGCCCGTAGGCCTGAAATGGGCACCTGGACAGAGAGTGCCCCAGGGGAAGCTAGAGTCCCCCAACATGCAGTGTCAGGCAAGTTCCCTGTTTTTCTTTCTTTTTCCTTTCGCTGTTTTCTTGCACCTCAGTCCCTGAGCAATCTCGCGGCAGCAAGGGCCAAGGCAGCAACCGGAGCCTGTGGGGGTCCAAACGCTGAGGGAGGGAACCTTCTCATTACAAGAGCTGTGGTCTCAACGGGGTGGGTGAATCCCTGCTCCTGTTTTTCTCTATCTTCATGCCGCTTGGCTCCAGATACAGGCAAAGTCACAAGAAGTATGTGGCAGAGCGGGGTAACCAAAGTCCCAGCTTTCTGGCCAGATGACTGAAAAAGGAGAGCCCAGGGAAACGGAAAGTACCAAGAAGACTAAGAGGTAGGAAAACAGCTTCTCGAGGCTGTGCATGAACTCCTGGGCTCACCCCAAGTTGTGATCTGACGCTCAGCAGCATGCAGAGACTTCAAGAACTGAGCAATGGGTGAGACCGCTACCCAGGACACAGACTGGCCCAGAGCACAGCACAGATCTGAAGGCTTTGCAAACTCGATTGGCGGAACTACCACCCACAGAAAGCTGGTTGGGCTGAAGCCAGCTGGGTCAATTGCCTGTTAAAGCAAAAATATCAATATTCTTCTTAGGATTTAAACAAGCCCTAGAGTCCTACAACATTCCAAATGTCCAGGATACAATTAAAAACTTCTCAGCGTACCAAGAACCAGGAAAATCTCAACTCCTGAGGGAAAAGATAATCAACGGATGCCAAAGCCAAGATGAGACAAGATGCTGGAATTATCTGACAAAGACCTGAAAGCAGCTGCTATAAAAATGTTGCAACAAGTAAGGGTGAACACTCTTAAAGCAAATGCAATTACAGGAAGTCTCAGCAAGGAGAAAGAGGATAGAGAGAAGAACCAAGGGAAAGTTGTAGAACTGAAAAGTACAATAACCAACACACACACACACACACACACACACACACAAACCAACTTGCTGAAAGGGCCTCAACAACAGAACGGAGATGATAGAGGACAGAGTCTGTGAACTTGAAGACAGGTCAACAGAAGCGACCAATCTGAGCAACAGAACAAAAACAGACCAACGAGGGGCAGATTCTGTGCTTAATTATCACCTAGCCCTCAGTGAGTCAGAATTAAGAACCAAATGGACAATGGACATATTAAACATCTGCTTAATTTCAGCAAGTCATACCTTTTCCAACTTAACCACAAAAAAGTTACATAATGATGAAAAGAAATAATAAAGCACTTAGAATTCTGTGCCAAGGAAGGTAAGATAGCAATTATGTAAAACGAAACCCCAAATGGAGTATCTGTACAGTTACTTGAGACACCAAAACACGAGTGTTGGCTCCAAAGCAAAGCTCCCAGAGGTTTGGGTGAGATGAAGGAGGAACCTGTTCCTGTAGGAGTAGCCGTCCCCAACACCAACTCCTTGGAAAGCCAAAGTCACATGCTTCCCCTGGATAAAGGAGGAGGCCTTGGGGACAGGATGGCAGAGCAAAGGGAGCCATGGGGAGGGGTCCTGGCCCTACCACCAATCAGCCTCACAAACACAAGTACAGGCTCGCTCTGGACCTGGCCGCTAATCTCTAAACGGCTGGGACCAGACCACGTGGTCTCTTTGCTCCTCCTGAGCTCTGGAAATGTGAAGTCAATATTTTAAAGCTTAATCAATCTGATAATCATCCTTTTAATATCCAAGGGCAGAGGTAACCCATGTATATGGGGGGAAAAAAAAAAGATCAAGGCATGACAAAGTGGGAAGTCTAGTTACAGGTGGAATTCACAGCCCTAAAAGTAAGCTCACAGGAGAGAAGAGC